GTCGCGGCCGTCGCGCCGGCCTTGCCGCACGGACGGCGGCTCTCGAGCGCCAGCTGGCGACCAGCGCGCGGACCCTTGAAGGCATTCTAAGTGGCGTTCAGGCGCTTGCTTCGACCGCGCCGATGGGAGGGGCTGCACAGACCGCGCCCGGTGCGTTGCATCCGCGTCCGTGTCATCCGTTCCCGCCTCTCCTCGCCCCTCCGCATCCGCCGTCGCTGTTTCCGGCGGGTGCGCCCGTGTGTTTCCAGCCGGCGTCGGCGCTCCTGGGACCTCCGCCGCCTGTGTACCGCGGGGCTCGTCTTCCCATGGCGCCTCCCACACTGGACACACCGGCGGCCTCCAGTGGAGCGCTCCCCGAGTGGCAACCACCTCCGCAGTCCTTCGTCCCCGATCACTGGGCTCCTGGGCTTCCCGCCCGTGCGTCGGGTGTGGGGGTGTATGGGCCCTTCGTGCCACCCCGTCGACTGGCGGTGTCCCCAAATGGAGTTGAGGAGGGGGCAGAAGCAGCGGAGACGGGGGGGATGGAGTCGTCGGAGGAGATCTCCCCCAGGTTCCGTGCCCAGTCCCGGACCCAGCGCCCAGTGGGTACGCGGAGCCAACCGGGGGCGCAGGAGGACGGTCTGCCAGGCAGGCGGCAAACGGGGCAGGTGGTCGCGGTTCCAGCAGCCACGTTCCGTCGGATGTGCCAGACGAGGAGGGCGTTTGGGCTGCTGGCGGTGGTCGTGGAGGCGACGCACTCCGCGCTGCTGGGGTCAGAGAGCTCCCGAAAGATGCAGCACTCACACTTGCGGACGGGTTCGGACGCGCTTGCAGACCTCGTGGTGGTGATGGGGCAAGCGCTGCCCGTGCCCGGCCCGGGAAGTGGCTTGGACCCGGCCGTGGCCGCCGCAATGAAAGCGATGTCGGAGAGCATCGCGTTGGCGTCAGCCGTAGATCTCGCAGGCAGCTGCGCGTCCACGCTGCGGGTGCTGGTGGGCCTACTGTCGGCGCAGCTGGAAGAGGCCGTGGGGTTCGAGTGACGGGGTGGCGTCTCGCGTACGTTCGCGGCCGGCCCGCGTCAGCGGCCGTCTGGGAGGTTGGCGAGCGTCCCGTCAGTAGTAGGAGTCCCTCCATGCTGGTGGCATTGGATCGGGCGCTGTAGGGATTTGTTGTGCCCTTGGGGCTTGGTGCTTGTATTGAAAACGGAGTAGTCGTTTCCTGGTGTTCTTGCCGTCCCCGAACGCGCGGCCGGAGGCCGCCGACGCGAGCCGCTGGCAAGGAAGGAGAAATGAGAACTGAACTAAAAACAGAGGAGAATGAGAGGGAGAGGGCCTTATATAGCTTGGGAACCCATGCTCTCTCTCTCTCTCTCTCTCTCTCTCTCTCTCTCTCTCTCTCTCTCTCTCTCTCTCTCTCTCTCTCTCTCAAGCGGTCCGTTTATTGCTTGGAAAACTGGGTACAGGCTAGGCAAGGCAGGCAAGGGGCAGCAGGGCAAGGTACGTGCATGTTTGGGGGCTCGAAACTACACGAGCTCCCCTAGGGGCTCTGCTATGGCAAAGCAGTCCCCGGGTGCCATGTCGGCGTCAGGGGTACCCACTGGGGTGTGGGGGGCAGGGGAGGCTTCATTAACTTTCCCCAGGTAAGCCAGGGCCTGTGCCCGCTGCAGCGTCACTGACCAGCGTTGGCGAAACTGGTGGAGCAATTTTGCGGCCTGGTAGGAGCTGGGGTCCGCATTGAAAAGTCTCCTGGCCCCTGTGTCAGCCAGTAGCTTCAAGAAGGTAGGGACCTCGGCGCATGGGCAGCCGTATGTCTCGACTGCAAGTGGGAAAAATCCGACATACGGAGCCCGATTCCGGTAATGGGAGATTTTCTTGTCAGCTTGCTCCCGGGCCATGTATCCGCGTCCTTTTCTTGCATCCGGGTCCCGGCTGCTGATGGGATCTGTGACAGTGACGTCACAGATCCAGACGGCTCCGGAACTGCGGTCTCGGAGGGCGAGGTCGGCCTTGTGGCCGTCTACGGGGCTGTAGATGGTGGTCTCCTTGGTGACTATAAAGTCAGCGTCCCGGGCCATCCGTATGCTCTCGTCCCGCAGGGCATTATGGGTGTCGGTCCGACCGTGCCCGGTGCCACACCGGAGCAGGTGGTTGGGCAGCCTAGTGTCGAGGATTTCAAATTCCTCGGCGCAGTTGCAAGTGCGGGGGGCTGGGAATGGAAGGCCGAGGCGGAAGGCCAGGGCAATGGCGAAGTGTGGAGCTTCGAGGCGGAGGGATGGGAAGATGGGGATGGCATGAAGCCAGTCCCCTGCTCCATATCCAGCCAGGGAAAAGAGGCGTTGGGTGTGCCCAGAGAGTGGGTTTGGGTCCATTGTCCGCGTGGCTGCCACCTGGCCGGCGTATCGCACGGCCTGGACTTCGAGGGATAAGCGGTGTTGGAGTGGGGAGCCGGAGGGTTCCCTCCTCTCGGAGTGCAGGAGCTCCCGGGCTCGTGGGGGCATCGCCGTTTCACACTTCGCCAGCCAGGTATGCAAGTGGGTGGGGCTGGTGAAAGGTGGCGTGAGGTGCCGGACAGCGTCAGCCAGGGGCCCTCCTGACGCTGCTGGGAGGGCAGCCAAGAGGCCCTGGGCTTGGGTGAGGCTGGTGAGGTAGGCTGGGTGTCCCTCAATTGCGGGGTCGGTTAGACCCAGTCCTCCAAGGGAGGGAGGGAGGGACGCTTGAGCCCAAGTGCGCGCCTGCTCCACCTCCCCTCGAGGCGGTTGGAGGTTGCAGGCACGCAGGAGGGTATGGAAGAGCTCCCTACCCCAGTCGGACCAGACTTCCAAGGGTAGGAAGTCAAGGGGGGTGGTGCGGGTTAAGTATGAGACACGCCGGGACACGCAGCGTGTGAGGAGGAGGGATGAGGACTGAGGGTCCATTGTGGCCAGTGTGGCGAGGGGTTCGGCTAGCAGGGCTAGCTGGGTGCGGAGGAATGCGGCTGTGCCCTCGGTTGTGCCTATAAAGCTGCCAAGCACGCGGACGCCTTCAGTGTTGAAAGGTATGTCTGGGGGAAGGCGGTCGGGTGCAGGGCGCTCGGCTGACCATGCTGCGCATTTCGCGGGGTTGTGGGAGAGACCGATGCGGTCCATGGCGGCTGTGAAGGTGAGGAATGCCGAGGTGCAGGCGTCCGGGTTGCCGACGAAAGTGACGTCGTCAGCGTATGCGAGGCAAAGGACCTCGGGGTGGGCCGCGGCGGTTGCCTGGAGGGCTGGGTGGATGGCTGCTGCGAAGAGGAGGGGGCCCATGGGATCCCCTTGGCGAACTCCCCGTGCGCTGAGTAGGGGCGGGCTATCAAACTCAGCGTCGAGATAGAGCAGAGACGGCGCGCCATACGAGAATTGGATAAATGGAAGGAGCGGGCGGAGGGGCGAGGTGTTGATTGCGTGGATGATTGCCCCACGGTCAACGCTATTAAAGGCGTTCGAGAGGTCGACTTGTAGGATGAGTGAGCCCGGGCGCGCAGAGGTGAAACCCCTGGTGGCGTGGATGATTGTCTCCCCGCCGCTCCTGATGGCTACCCCGTATTGGTGTGGTAGGAAGTAGTCTTGCGCGGATTGCGTAGAGGAGATTAGCGCGGCTTTTGCCGCCAGTCGATGGAGACACTCCCCTATTGCGATGGGGCGGGTACCCCCATCTGGCTTGGTAAGGGCCAGGAGGCGTGAGGAGGTAACGAGCTGGCTGACCTCGTGCGGCAGGTTACCCGCCAGTAACCGCTGGACGAGCTTGTGGAGGTTTGTGGCGACGGCGGGGTTGGACAGCGAGGCGTCGCGAAGGTGCTCGAAGGTCATCCCCGAGGGGCCTGCCCCAACTCCATTTTCGGAGCGGGCGAGGAGCTTCGCGAACGTAGCGAAATCGACTGTCGGCGGCCTGCAGTTTTCGTCAAGCCGTGGCCAGGTGAGGCTTTCGACAAGCGGAGGGGGGTGTTTTGACTTCAGCGCGTCCAGGACCGTGGGGGTGGACTTGCTGACTGGGGTCGAAGTCAACGCGAGCAGTGCCCGTCGCAAACTGCCTCGTCGTACCAAGCCCTCGGCGCGGGATATTTTCCCGAGAGTGTCAGGTACGTGGCGGGGAGGGGGTGGCAGGGTGACAGCCGAGGCAGCAGCTTGGTACAGTGTGTCCCACTGGCCCGCGAGAAATTGTCGAAGTCGTCGTTCCGTCGCGGGCCAGTCAGGGCGTCGAGGCGAGGGTAGGCGAAGTGTGAGGCGCGGGAGGTAAAGTAACAGGGTCCAACCCTCGATGGAGGTTGGATGTTTGGCGAGGAAAAGGAGGGGTGTCAGGAGGGTGAGCGCGAAAAGTTGACGGATTTGGGGGGGTAACCGGCGGGAGAGAGGGGGTTGGCGACTGTCGCAGAGAACTGCAACGTCCCACGTGGCGATGACGGCGAATCTGGAGGGGTCATTCGCCAGTTCTTCCGGGGACAACTGCTGGGCTGCCTGGGGGTGGGTGTCCAGCGGTGCCCGAGTATTGTGCAAACGGCTGGACCCTCGTCCCCTAGATCTTGGAGATGGGTCAGTCTCTCGTCCTCCAGCGCGCCTGTTTGCTTCGACGTGTTCCGCCTCACTGGAGGTCTCAGTCGTGGGGTCTCCCTGGTTCCCTGGTATATAGGTTCCGTCCGCCCGTTCCTCCTCATCAGTCGTTCGTTGCAGTTCCGAGGCACTTAAAGCCCTGTTCGCCGCCTGCTGGAATCCGTTCAGTGGTCCTCCATCGGAGGACAGATTGCCACGCCTTGCCGCCCCGCGACCGCGCCCTCCGGCCGTCCGTGCGTTGAGTCTTCCGCGTCCGCCTCCGTGGTTTCCTCTCGGGGCGGCCCTGGTCGTCGTTCGGCTTTCGTGCCGAGTCGTGGGGGGTGCCGAGTGCGGCGCGCCTCCCCGGGATGGAGCGACCAGCGCGGGAGCGTTCTGCCGATTTGGAGAGTACCGGGGACAGCAAGTCTCTCTCTCTCTCTCTCTCTCTCTCTGTCTCCCGTTGTTCTCCCTCTGTGACCAGAAATCTGGCAAATAATAAACTTTCCGGATCTATTCCAGCTGAAGTTGGAAACCTCCCTGCATTGCAGTACCTGTAAGCAGTGTGGGATAGGATGATGCTGGAATCATAGGCGAATAGAGCGGCATGTTTAGAAGGGATGCGCGCTGCAGTGGGTTTTGGGAGCATCACCTCGTTCACTGGACTGAGATCACGTGTCCATACACTCCGCATGCTCCACCCACCTTCCTCCCTCTGCAATGCATAATTCCTTAACTTTCCATGTCAGATTTCCCTGGCCTGTTAAACCGGCCAGTCAGTTAACTCGCTGCATTGGCTGTTTCACATGAACGGAATTCATGCCCACTTTCCACCCTCTGGCCAGAGTCCTGACGAGTAATCAGCTTACTGGACCCATCCCGGCTCCCATCAGAAATCTCGCCAACTTGAAAAACCTGTAAGCTGTGGGATGATGGTTGCGGCTGCGGAACTGAAATTCGTTCGAACAGAGTGCTGCTATAGAAATAGGAGTGAGGAATAGGAGTACATTAGCCTGTTGGACGTTCCATAACTATCCATTTCTTTAGTTATCTCACTGCTTTCACAGTTTCACAGTTTCGCATGACCCGCTCTTTTAAGAGATCAACGGAGCACTTATGCACAGTATTCAATCCCTGTGAACAGATCTCTGAATGACAATCAGCTGAGTGGGCCCATTCCAAATGGATTTAGCAACCTTACCAGCTTGGGCATACTGTAAGTTAACAGCTGCTGAGGAGCCACACTTTTTGTCGAATATAGCTGTGATATAGGAGCAAGGTGCTTTGTTTTGGCCGTGTTGGCGTCGCTGTGCGGAGCCAGGAGGCACCTCTTTCATCTCCCACCTCCCATTCGCCATCCCTGTGTGCACCCATCCGCGTGCCCCTCCCCGCCCTTCCCTTGTCCACCCCACCATCCTCCCAGCCACCATCCCTATCCCAGTTTTTCCTCCTTCCCTCCTCCAGGCCCACTTAGGCCCACCTTTCTCCCTCTCCTGCTATCGAGTCGCTTGTGTGTCCAAATTTCTCAACTCAAGTTTTTCAACCCCTCCTCGTCGCATCTCTTGTGCTCTCCTCATCCTAGCTCCAAGCACGCTTGGATGGGCTCTGAGCAGTTGAACGGCGCCTTACACCTTGTGGCAGCCACGTGCTCTGCATGCTTCCACCTCCCCCCCTTCTTTCTCGATTTGCCACTTCGGATTTCCATCCAGTCAGTTGTACTTCCCGTATCTCACTGCATTGACTGTAACATATAAGTGCACATCTCTCAAGAATATCAACAGAGCAGTATTCTTGCCAACGTTTCACCCTCTCGTGACCAGAGATCTGTCTGCGAATCAGCTTTCCGGGCCCGTCCCAGCTGGAATTGGAAACCTCGCTATCTTGGGAGCGCTGTAAGTTGTGTGAAGCAGAAAGCAGCTGAAGATAAAAAAATTAACGGTGCACTGTTGTAGAAAACGATGCTAGCTGGTTTCGTTTGGGGGTTGTTGGCAGTGTTCTTGGCGTTGCTGTACAGAGCCAGGAGGCACCTTTTTCACCTCCCGTTCTACTGCCCTATGTGCACCGATCCTAGTGTCCCTCCCCGCTTTATTACCCTAGCATCCTCTCAGTCACCATCCCTGCCCCCTTTCTCCTGTTGGAATACTTATATGCCTTTATATAAAGTGACTTTCGCATAGATATCAGTGTAGTGATTATTTCATCCTATGGTAGGTGGTAATTGAACTCTTTCCTCAACTTTTCGGGCTCTCGACTTTAACATTCCCCTCCTTCCCTCCTTCGTCCCCGCGTAGCCCCACCTTCTCTTCCTCCTGCCACCAGCTGGAGCTGCTTCGATTTGCTCCAAGTCCGCCGCAGAGATTTCTCGTCTGTGCGCCACGCAATGCTTCCCTCCCACCATGCTCGTCTCACCACCCCCTTGGGTTGCTTTGTGTTCATGCCCAAATTTCATAACTCACGTTTTTCAACAACTCCCCCCCCACACAGTTCCTTGGCGTCCAACTTGTTGAGTGGCTCCATTCCCAACAGCATCACCTCACTCAATCAGCTCTCCATTCTGTACGAAGTCCACTGGAAGCAAGTGTGTGTCAGGAGTGCACTGCGATTGCCCGAAGCATCTACTTTCTTCTCGTTGCATCTCTTGTTCTCTCCTCATCCTAGCTCCAAACACGCCTGGATGAGCTCTGAGCAGTTGAATGGTGCCTTACACCTTGTGGCAGCCACGTGCTCTGCATGCTTTCACCTCCCCCTCTTCTTTCTCGATTTGCCACTTCGGATTTCCATCCAGTCAGTTGTACTTCCCGTATCTCACTGCATTGACACTAACATATAAGTGGACATTTTTCTAGGATATCAACAGAGCAGTATTCTTGCCAACGTTTCACCCCCTTGTGACCAGAGATCTGTCTGAGAATCAGCTTTCCGGGCCCATCCCACCTGGAATTGGAAACCTCACGAACTTGGGGGCGCTGTAAGTCGTGTGAAGTAGAAAGCAGCTGAAGATTAAAAATTTTAACGGTGCACTGATGTAGAAAACGATGCTAGCTGGTTTCGTTTGGGGGCTGCTGGCAATGTTCTTGGCGTTGCTGTGCAAAGCCAGGAGGCACCTCCCATTCCACTGCCCTATGTGCACCGATCATAGTGCCCCTCCCCACCTTACCCTAGCGTCCTCTCAGTCACCATCCCCGTCCCCTTTCTCCTGTTGGAATACTTATATCGCTTTAGGTATAGTGACTTTCGCATAGATAGCAGTGTAGTTATTAATTCATCATATGGTAGGTGGTGCACCACTATTTGCCCACTCTTGCTTGTATACCTTGGGCTCCTGCCCTTTCGAATTGAACTCTTTCCTCAACTTTTCGGGCTCTCGACTTTTACATTCCCCTCCTTCCCTCCGTCATCCCCACGTAGCCCCACCTTCCCCCCCTCCTGCCACCAGCCGGAGCTGCTTCGATTTGCTCCAAGATTTCTCCTCTGTGCGCCACGCAATGCTTCCCTCCCACCATGATCGTCTCACCAACCCCTTGGGGTCGCTTTGTGTTCATGCCCAAATTTCTTAACTCACGTTTTTCAACCCCTCCCACCCCCCCCCCCCCCCCCCCCCCCCACATACACACAGTTCCTTGGCGTCCAACTTGTTGAGTGGCTCCATTCCCAACAGCATCACCTCACTCAATCAGCTCACCCTTGTGTACGAAGTCCACTGGAAGCATGTGTGTGTCAGGAGTGCACTGCGATTGCCCATAGCATCAACTCTCTTCTCGTTGCATCTCTTGTGCTCTCCTCATCCTAGCTCCAAACACGCTTGGATGAGCTCTGAGCAGTTGAATGGTGCCTTACACCTTGTGGCGGCCATGTGCTATGCATGCTTGCACCTCCCACCCTTCTTTCTAATGTTGCCACTTCGGATTTCCATCCTGCCAGTTGTACTTCCCGTATCTCACTGCATTGACACTAACATATAAGTGGACATCTTTCTAGGATATCAACAGAGCAGTATTCTTGCCAACGTTTCACCCCCTTGTGACCAGATTTCTGTATAAGAATAAGCTTACCGGGCCCATCCCAGTTGGAATGGGAAACCTCGTTAACTTGAAGGGACTGTAAGTCGTGTGAATAAGTAGCACCTGAGGATCAAAATTTGTGTAAACGGTGCATTGTTGTAGGAAACGACGCTAGCTGGTTGCATTTGGGGGTTGTTGGCAATGTTCTTGGCGTTGCTGTGTGGAGCCACGAGACACCTCTCCCAGCTCCGATTGCACTTCGCTAAGTGCACTGATCCTAGTGCCCCTCTCACCTCTCACCTTGTCCTTGTCCACCCTAGCGTCCTCTCAGTCATCCTCCCCGTGCCCTTTCTCCTGTTGGAATACTTCTATCTCATCCTAGCTCCAAACATGCTTGGATGAGCTCTGAGCAGTTGAATGGCACCTAACACATTGTGGCAGGCAGCCATGCAGTCTGCATGCTTGCACCTCCCACCCTTCTTTCTAATATTGCCACTTAGGATGCCCTTGGCATGTTGGGCTAGCCAGTCCATCGGACTTCGTCTATCTCACTGCATTGAAGCTTACAAACAAGTGGACAACTCTCTATCTTGGAGATCAACAGATCAATATTCATACCTGGCGTGACCAAATTGTTGTTTTTGAAACAGCTTAAGTGGCCCATCCTAGCTGGAATAAAAAACCCCAGAGAGACGTGGGCATAAGGACGAGCCGGATTGGCTCAGCTTGGCTCGGCTCGTTCTGAGCTCGAAACGAGCCAAGCCGGCTTGAGCCGGTCGAGCCACAGCTCGGCTTGACATGGCCACTCCCGACAAGCCGGGGTCAAGCCGGCGGCTTGTGGATGAGCCGCGCGCGGCTCATGCAGATCTGGCACGGGCCGGGGAGTTCCCAAGGCCGGCCCGACCTTCGCCCGGCCTGACCTTCGCCCGGCCCGACCTTCGCCCAGCCCGGCCCGGCCCGTGCCCAGGCGGGCCGACCAGAAAAAGGCCGGGCCGGGCCCGGCCCGGGCCTATGCTCATGCCTAGTGTTCGCCTTGTTGACTTTTTTTAATTGCCCGCTCGCATTCGCCTTCCCTGTGTGCACAGAGCACCCATCCACGTCCCCCTCCCCGCCTTTCCCCTGTCCACCCCACCTCCCAGACACCATGCCCATCCCTTTCCTCCCTCCTTCCCTCCTCCATCCTCACTAAGCCCCACCTTCATCCCCCTCCTGCCATCGGCTGGAGCTTCTGTTCGCTCCAAGTCCGCCGCAGAACGTTCTCCTCTGTGCGCCAAGCAGTGCTTCCCACCATGCTCGTCTCACCACTCCCATAGGTCGCTTGTGTGCGCTTGCTCTCCATCCTGCCATGCACACTTTTCTCATCTCACTTGTTCCAACCCATTCCACATAGGTATCTTTGGGAGAACTCGTTAACTGGCTCCATTCCCAACAGCATCACCTCGCTCACTATGCTCTCCGATCTGTATGAAGCTCACTGGAATCATGTGCCAGGGTTGCAACGCGATTGCCTGTAGCACTAACTCGTTTCTGCCACCATTTCCCAGTCAATAATCTTTGTGTCTCCAGAGCTCTTCTCGTCTCAGTTCCAGAGCATGCTTGGATGAGCTCTGAGTGGTTGAATGGCACCTACACCTTATAGCAGCCATGCACTTTGCATGCACCCACGTTTAAAGCTCTCCAATTTGCACCCTTTGAAAATTGCCTCTCTGTATGTCCCTTGCATTTTCGACTAACCAGTCAGTTGAACTTCATCTATCTCACTGCACTGTCTTTTGCATACAAGCGCACAACTCTCTCTTTAGGAGATCAGCAGAGCAGTATTCATGCCCATGTTGCACCTTCGTGTGACCAGTGTTCTGTTGGGGAATCAGCTTTCTGGGCCCATCCCAGCTGGAATTGGAATCCTCACTAACTTGGCCTCGCTGTAAGTCGCATGAAGTAGGCTGCTATTCTATTGCCTGTCCGCCCGCTTTTACCTTCTCTCCTGTTTTGCGCATTCTCATCTCATCCCTCCCTTTTCCCCTCCTCCTGCCATCACAGTGATTTGTATGATAACCAGCTCAGTGGCTCAATCCCTGCTAGTATCAGCTCACTTGCCTGGCTGACAAACCTGTAAATTTTCTGCTTCGCTGTGCCCTCCTAGTCCTACCTCTTCCCCTGCTCTCCTGGCTATCTCATATGTCATATAAATCACCTATCCTTAAGGCTATTCTCCAACAACAATCTCGTGTTTTTTTTTCGGGGGGCAGCCTGAAAAAAATCCCAGTGATTGTTTGCGTTTTTGGGTGCGTTTGGCGTTTGCGTTCAAACGCTTGCATTTGAACGCTAAACGCGTGTCTGCCAGAGCGTTTGTAGCAACTAACGTTTGAGGGATTTTAAAATTTGCATGTGAAGCAAGGCGGAATGTCAGCAGACGTTCCTGTAGCAAACTTATAGGCTGCGAGACTCTGGGCAATACCTTGTTGGTCAGACAGAAGGCATGGTTATCTAGCGTAAGATCACACAAGCACTAGACGCTAAAAGATTTTACAACTTCCTCCTGCTACTTAAGTGTTATGATGCCCCTCTCAACCATTGGCTCATTGAGGCATCGACAAAAGTGACAAGCCTTGTGTCTATCCTCCTCTCTCCTTGATCACCATGCTTGCTTCTCCTCTCCTCTCCTCCACTCTTCTCCTATTTTTGCTCTTTACCCCCCCTCTCTGCTCCGCTTCCTCCCCTCCTTTCCTCGTCGCTGCTTCTCTTCGCTCTCCGCTTCTTTTAATGTTCTGATTTGTTTTTGTTTCCTGTTCTTTCTGTCCCTGTCTTCTCTTTGCACATTTTCTCTTATCCCCTCCTCCCATGTCATCCGTGCTCCTTCCTTTCCTCCTACTCCTCGTCCCTTTCTTGACTCCGTCAACTCATAACACACCTTGGAGCTGGCGAATCACACCTAGCTTCCCAATTCTCCTCCTCCCGTATACCTCCTACTTATTTTCTGGACATTTTCAGTAAAATTTTCAATGGGGCTCGCTGATAGATGTGGGTTCTTCATTTTACTGTTCGTTTCCATCCTAACTCAAACCTGCTGTCTGTACCTATTAAATGCGTGATTCGTGTTCATCATTACAGACGTATTGGTAGGAATCTGCTCACAGGCTCAATTCCTGCTGGGATCAGCAGTTTTACAAACCTGGATTCCATGTAAGGCTAACAGGATGGATTGTCACTGCGATTTGGACTGTATGCACTGCAATATGGATTGCGAACAGGATGATTGTCACATCACGGATTTGTTTTGTGACGGAGTGCTTGCTGACATTGCTGTAGGGTTGGCTGAGAGACTCTGCACCCTGGCTGTGTCCAGTAGCGCAAGGTCAAGCTGCGTGGCAGCTTCCACCTGCCTGCAGGTCGAGTGTTACGTTGGCCCACTCACTTTATCCCCGCTACTGCTGGCTGGCTCAGTGGAACCACTGGAAGAAGTGACTAGCATTTAGCCTTTCCTTCTCCTTGTTCAATGCATCTCCGCTTGCCTTCTCTTCTCTTGCTCACTCTCCTCACGTCTCCTACACTACACCCTTCTTTCCTCCGCACGTTCCAAGGACAATGTCCACTGTGCTGGCAGTGTACCTCATTAGCATTTGAAGGAATTTCGCATACTTGTATTTGGTCATACCTACCGTTTCACTCCATCTGTGTCTAAAGTCATCCTTTATCCATCGTTCATGTTCTTTACTCAGAGGCTTTCAAGAAAATCAGCTCTCGGGGTCAATCCCTGCTGAAATCGGCAGTCTTTCAAATTTGACAGCCCTGTAAGACTCTTCTGCTCTATTGTACCCACCTATCTATGGCTGGTCTCTGCTCCTTTTCTCCGTTTTGTAATCGCAATGGAATAGTTGCATTAAGGTGAACAGCAATGGACTAGTATAACACGTGCAATATGAAGCCTTCAGATTCGAAGGCGTCTAGAGACGAGATGGATTGTTTGCCAGGCGTCTAGGGCGTTCTTGTCAGGCAGGTCTAGTGGCTGCAACAGTCTTGCACGTCCCTTGCAAGGGCTGGCCTCGGGCCGGCCTGACGTGGGCCGACCTTGACAGCGTCCCGGCTCCAGCCTGAACTTCTGGGACAGGCTGCCTCAGGCCAAGAGCGAACCACCCCAGCCCAATGCCAGCCCTGGGCCTATCTCCCCCCCCCCCCCCAAGTGATAATTTGGCACGTCAGGTTGCCACAATCCCTCCCTACAGCCCGCGCCCATGAGTGTTGCCATACCACCCTATGCACACTGTCTTCTAAACCCTAGACATGGGCAAGGGACGGGCTTGACGTTTTTGCGGACGGCTCTGGCACAAGCCGGGCCCCGCCTTTCCGGGGTCGGGAATGGGCCGTTTTTGGACAGGCTGGGCCGTGCCTGGCCCTTGACCTGCCGGCTACTCCCAAGTTGTAGTTTCCTCTAAAAAGTGGAAACCAAAACCCCATTGTCACATCACAACCAGCTACCACAACGTAATTTAGAGTCACAATGTACCAATCAGGGCTGGACCTACATACAATCAAGCCCAGACTCTGGCCCGATTAAACTCCCCGCACATGGGCTGTCACCTCACTACCACACGACAGCATGTCAAAGCACTAGATATGGACAGGCAAAAATGGCAAACAATACACACGGTTCTTGGTGCAAGTGGAGAAAAAGGGCTGTAGGGGATAGGGTTCCTGGTAACACAAACACTCGCCTACCAGCCGGCCGCCACTTGTCAAATCCCCGTGTTCCCACACCATCCCCCGAGTTTCCAACATGCAAGGGCACGCAGAAATGGTGTCGGTCAAAATAAAAACGAACTGCCCTTAGCCACGGGCAGATTAAATCGCATCGCATCGCGTTTAATCGGGTTTTTGCGAAGCATTTTTTTTTTAAAATTAATATAATAATAAATAAATCGTGCAATGCGGTGATTTAATTATCGTACGATTTAATTTAACTCGCGTTTTAATCGCGCTGAAAATTGCGATTAAATTGTGATTTGCAAAAAAAAATAAAAATCGCGCTCGATCTTTTTGTGGCCGAAATTCCATCGGTGTGTGTGTGTGTGTGTGTTTTTTTTTTTTTTCTTTTTTTTTTTCTTGTTTTTTTCCCGGAATTCTGAGGTGTTTTGCGATAAAAAAACAGAATAAAAAATCATCGCGCGAGTTAATTTAAATCGCATTTTAATTGTGCTGGTAAACGCGATTTAAATGCGACACGCACGCGATGTCGCACTGAAACCCACTCTGAAACCCACTACAAAACCACACTATTTATTTTCACTCTAGCTTACAACAGCCCGTGATTCACTTTCCCAGAAGCCATCGTTTTTTTTTTTTTTTTTTTTTTTTTTTTTTTTTTTTGGTTGCGGAGCAACCTATTGCAATCGATCGGGCTGGTTTTTTTTCAAGTTTGTGAAATAAAAATTAAATGTTTTTTGTGATGGAAATAAAACATTTTATGTATAATAAAGTCTCATCATGAAATGCTCCGCAACCCTAAGACGATCTCGTCGCCTCTTGTTTTTTTTTTTTTTTTTTTTTTTGGTTTTTAGGGAGGTTCGTTCATTCTGTTTTAAATCGCGATGCGATTGAAAATCGTATCGCGCAATTTAATGAAATACCGCATGCGGTTCAAATATTCAGCGCGTGCAGAACGGGATATGCAATTTATTTTTCCAGAAATTAAATCGCGTGATGCGATTTAAAATCGCATCGGATTGAATTAAATCGCCCCCCAATGCGATGCGATTTAAATCGCAATCGCATTTTGCCCATGTCTAGGCTCGGGCCGGCCTGGCCCGAGCTGCCCCGGCCCGTCTATCTAAGAGACGGGCTCGGGCTAAGCCGGCCGCCACCCCGGCCCGAGGCCTGTCTGAAGTCGACAGGCCGGGGTGCTGTGATGCGCCTAGTGGCCCTTGGGCCCGTGGCGTTCCGCCCAATTAGCGCGGTTCCGGTGTTTCGCCGCCGGATCCGCGTGGATTGGGTCGTTTTGCCCACCAATTCGTGCTGGTGTTTTCCTCCTGATCGTCGCAGATCTGGGCGAAAATTGACCTGAGGGTAGAAAATATCGCTTAGCACGACCTGTCCCCAGCCTGTCGTCATCGTCAGAGACGGAGCGGACGTGCCGACCCAGGCCCGTCGACACAGGCCGTCCCGGGGTCAACGAGCCCGTCCACTAAGGGGAGAGGAGACTGCCTGGCCCAAGGCCTGCCCCTCTGCCCATGAAACCTCAGTTTCTTCCTAACTGCACAAGCTTACCCTAATCTTTGGGAAAGCTAGCGCATTTGGTGAGAGTAGAATATAGGCCATTGGGTAGCTGGGATGGTGAGAAACCCTACGCAAGTTCTGCGATGTGGTGTGGCGGGTAGCGTTTGCCAAAAAACTCGACTTACAAAGTCGAAATGTTGGACCCCGCGCCTTGGTTTGCGGGGGGCGTCACAGGCCGCATTGCAGCCAGCCCGGCCCACTGCTCTATCTACTGCACGGTCCCACAAGTGCAAGGCAGCTTCCACAACTGCCAGCAGGTAGTTCAGTCCTACTTTGGAAAACTCACTAAAGCATTGGAGAAAAGCTTCTCAAAAGCCTTTTCTCTTCTTCTGTGCTCTTCATATGATCCTTTGTTCCATGTTCTTCTTCCCATTGCGCTCTCACCTTCCCTCTCCTCGGGTCATGTTTGCTCATGGAGTTTGCAGCACGTCTGCATGCACCTTCGGTCTTATCATCACATCGCAGTCCATGGCAAACAACTCCGCTTTTTCACCCTCTCCCGCTTTTTCATCCTCTCCTGCTTTTTTCATCCTCTCCTGCTTTTTTCATCCTCTCCTGCTTTTTTCATCCTCTCCTGCTTTTTTTATCCTCTCCTGCTTTTTTTATCCTCTCCTGCTTTTTTTATCCTCTCCTGCTTTTTTCATCCTCTCCTGCTTTTTTCATCCTCTCCTGCTTTTTTCACGCTCTCCTGCTTTTTTCATCCATCCTCTCCTGCTTTTTTCATCCATCCTCTCCTGCTTTTTTCATCCTCTCCCGCTTTTTGTCCTTTCGTTGTCCTTTTCTCACACCATGGCAAACAATTCCTCTCCTAACCCCCAATCCTGTCCCTGTGTCTCCACACGCTACAGAAATGTCGACAGCTCAGCCATCTTGTTCATGTAGCATTTTTAGGCATGCCGATGAATATAGTACCTATCATGTGAACTTGAAATCACTGCTATTTTCTGTCACATACCTGATTCATATTTATTGCAACAGGAGTCTTTGCCCGAATCAGCTCACTGGCTCGATCCCTGCTGCAATCAGCAACTTTACACGTCTTCAATTCCTGTAAGGCCTCTGCTTTCCTATCCTTGCCCGTCCAGCCAACTCCCGTTTGTCCCTTTTGCCCTCCCCCCCCCCCCTTCCCCCCCACTGCCTTTGTATCCTATTCTCTCCAGCCCACTTACCACCACTCTCTTCTCTACTCTACATGCTGTAGTGCATACTGGTTCACAGCGCTGGAGTGGACTTGTAAATGACGCGAGACAAAATGGCCGCAGACGTTCTCATTGGACTAACTTAGTGGGTGCGAGACTCTGGTACCTTGCTGTGCTCAGTTGGTAAGGGAGCGGGTTGCTGCATTGGTATCTAGAACAGGCTCGCACAAGCGCTAAGCTGTAAGGCAGCGTCTACAACTGGCAGTAGCTATTTGTGTTATATTCGCTCAATGACAGCAGCGACAGTACCGTATGGCCTTTCCCTCCTCTTGGTTCAAGTCGTTCCCTTTCCTATGAGTTTGTTCGCCTCTGTCCTCTCTTCTACTTTCCTATATTACTCTCTGCTTCACTCCTCGATTCTGTGTCATCCCTCCTCGTCATTCCTCTTCTTCCTCCTCGTACTGTTTTCCACTGTATCATGTTCATACTTTAATGCTAAATCAAATGACCTTGTTGAATACGGACACATGTTGGAGCAGGCATATGTTCAGTGCTGGGCCGGGAGCGTACCGGCCCAGCCCGAGTCGTTCGCGGGTGGGCTCGGCCTCTGCTCAGCCCGTGTTGATAGGACCGGGCCGGCCCAGTCCGTGGCAGCGCTGGCCCCAAGCTCGTCCACTCGGTCGTCAGCGTCGAAGATGGGCCGAAACAGGATGGCCGGCTGGGAGGCTGGCGACGGGCCGAAGCATGGCCGGTCGACGACCTGCACGACCCGAGTTGCACGGGTCACTGACTCTTAGGGGCGAAATTCTACCCCAATTCATGCAGATCAGATGGCGATGTGCCTGACAGGCGCGGAACGGCGGTCAAAACGATCCGCCCCCCCAGATCGTGCAGAAGATCTGCAAAGTTTGGGTTGCGAAACGTGTGTTTTGAGTCGACTCAAGACACACGGGGCCTCCCCGATTGGAGGACGGGCCTACCCCGGACTGTCCTCTCCAGGTGGGGCTCGGCCGGGGGGCCGGCACGTCCTGAGCTGGGACTGGCCAGCTGGGCCATAGGCATGTTCATGGGGCGGTCGGGCCAGGCTGGGCTACACCCCGGCCCGAGGTCCGTGAGTAGAGGGCGGGCCCGGGTAGGCCCATCCTTGGGCCGGGCCAGCCCGAGACGGACCTAGCAACCCATGGGTGCGTGGCATTTCAACTGCCGATCCGCGGGGATGGGGGTATTTTGCCTGCTGATCTGGGCGGATCTGGCTTTTCGCCACCTAATCCGCATAGATTTGATCGCTTCGCCTGCCGTTCCGTGCGATCTGGCATTCCGCTGACCTAGGCGTTGAATGTTCGGCCCGCGCGACTTGGGTCGCGCAAGTCGTCGACGGGCTGCGCTTTGGCTTGTCAACGGGTCTTTTGGCCTGCCAGCCTGTGTTGTCCCATTGACATACGGGCTCGGACCGGGCCGGCCCGACCATGGCCCCTCCCATGAACATCCCCACCGGGTCGGCGTCTCCTCAATTCTCCTATCCCCGCCCATCCTCTGCTATGTGTCCGCCCATCCCCGCACATTCCAGGAACATTTTTGAGTCGACTCAAAAGACATTCCAGGAACAATGCCCACCATGCTGCCGTGTGCTATGTGTGGATGACACATGCTGGAGCCGGCAATCAATGCCCTTCTGTAAAACTTCACTAACCAGTTTAGTCTCCCTACTCCTTTTGCATGCCTGATTCGTGTTCATCATCACAGGCGCATACAAAGTTGTCAGGTGTCTGGCTCAATTCCTGCTGCAATCGGCTCTCTGAAATCCCTGCAATTGATGTAAGGCCTCTGCTTTGCTTTGCTCTGAATGCTCTGCCTCTCCTGTCTCACCTTTCAGCGTCAATTCGTTTGATGCTAAGCATAACCCACGCTCTCCATTGCGCCCTCGCCCTTTTTATCCTCTTTGACAAAGTCCACATACCACCACCCTCCTTCACTTCACTGTGTTTTGTGTACGACTTGCTGATTGTGTGCACAAACCGAAGTCACTCGATTTTATATTGTAAGCCGCTGTTTTCCGGAGGAGTCCAACAAGTCATGTACATACAGCAAAAAGAATCCAGCAAGACTCGTACTATCCCCCATCTGGTGGTGGATTTGCTAGTTGCTGCAGTTGTTTCCACATCAGATTGTTCAATTGCCATCTGTTCAAACGGATTTGTGCAATGAGATCTCTGCAGCTATATCACTTACAAAAAACACAAATGATTCAGGGGCAGGCTCTACCCTAGGCATGAGCAAAACCGGGTATTTACCCGACCCGACCCGGTTTTGCTATACCCGACTTCGGGTCGGGTATTTTCGGGTTGGGTACGGGTCGGGTAACATGCCCAGGACCAATACCTGGACCCGGGAATTGGGGGCGGGTAATTTAATACCCGCCTGGCGGGTCCGGGTATATCCGACCCGGTTTCCTTGAAAAGCGGGTAGTATTACCCGCGTTTTTCTACCCTGTTGGGCAACTAAGCCTACAACCTAGATAGTGCTTAAAAAAACGTGAGTTGCGGGAGGGAGTATGAGGTGCGCCAAATCTTTAACAGTTCTGGTGTGGTGAGTGGGTCGTGAGTGGGGGCCTGAGTGGGGAGTTGGTTGGGTTTTCTAGTTGGGATGGGGTTGTGTGCGGTTTTTGGGGGTTTGATTCTTTGACCCCCAGAGTCAATTGGTTGGAACTCCAACCAATGTGGTGCTGTGCGGTTGGCTGGATTCAGGTTGGGTTGCAAATTCGATTGGGGAAATTCAATTGGTTTGACTTCCAACCAATTCCCCCCTATTCAACCACTCTGAATGCATCTGTATCTACGAAACCCAACCCCTGCCAATCTACAATGCTCTACGTGACCTAGCAGCTCACGTAACCTAGAAACTTGATGAAATTTCTCTACCAGCGCGACTAATGTCTCGCTGGTTCCGTCGGGTAGACCGCTACCCGATTTCGGGTCGGGTACCCGCTACCCGACGCGTCGGGTAGCATTTCGGGTACCGGGTATTGAATACCCGCCCGGGTAACCTGGACCCGACCCGCCGGGTAATATTCAGGATTTCCGATACCCGACCCGCCCTAAAAGCGGGTCCGGGTACCGGGTACCCGACCCGGGCGGGTAGTATGCTCAACCCTACTCTACCCCATGCAGGGTGGGTGGCAACCCCTGTGAAAAAGGTATACACTTAGACTTGATCTTGATGTGAGTCACTCTGTTGATTGTTATTGTCTGTCTACTGATCATCTTATTCTAAACCCCTCTTTGTCCTCTTCTCGTCTCAAATCATAACTGTAGACCCGGTTCTCTCCAGTAGTCACATTCTGTCTAACTTCGCTTCTGGGCTTCTCTCCCCTCCTCTTATCATCCCTGCAATATATATGTCGTACCCTGATTCCTGGTCCATGTATTTTGCACTTTGCCACCCCATTCGTCGTGCCTTGCTTGACGTTTCTTCACAATCAAAGGTATCTCGGAGACATTCAGCTCAGCGGCTCTATTCCTGCTACTATTTCCTCGTTGTCAGGAACTTTGGGCTTACTGTAAGGCATTGGCTTGTTCTGTTGTCCTAATTGCTATTTCAGCTCTCTTTCTCCTTTCTCTCCACTTGGACACTCCTTAAGCTGTGTTAAGTAGGCAGCAGCTGAGGATCCACATTTCGATTGAATGCACCACTCATGGCCCACCTGGGCCGGTGTTGAACTGATGTACGCTGCTTTTGTTGGGAGGGTGTTTGCAATGTTCTTGGCATTGCTGTGCAGAGCCACGAGGCACCTTTCCCTTCCCATTCGCCTTCCATTTGTACACCCATCTGTGTGCCCCTCCCCGCCTTCCCTTGTCCGCCTTAGCATCCTCCCAGCCACCATCCCCATCCCTCTGCCCCCTCCTTTCCTCCTGCATCCTCACTTAGCACCTCCTTTCTCCCCCTCCTGCCATCGGCTGGATCTTGCATTTGCTCCAAGTCTGCCGCAGAACGCCACTGTTCTCGTGTGTGCTTGCTGCCATGCCCACTGTTCTCACCTGACTTTTCCCAACCCACGCCACTCAGGGATCTCTCAAACAACTCGTTGACTGGTTCCCTTCCCGACAGCATCACCTTGCTCACTCGGCTCTCCTAGCTGTAGGACGTTCACTGGAATCATGTGCCAAGGTTGCGTCATACTTTCCCGTGGGTCGCTTGCCATTTCGCAGTCAATGATCGCTGGTTCTCCAGAGCACTCCTTATCCCAGTTCCAAAGCATGCTCGAATTGGATCAGCCTGAGCAGTTGAATGGCACGTAAACCTTGTAGCAGGCTTGCACTCTGCATGCTCCCACCTTCTCTAACCTCTCCAATGTGCAACCTTCTAAAGTTGCCACTTCTGAAATCCCTGGCCTGTTGGACTGACCAATCAGTTCTTGTAGATTTGTCTCACTGCATTGACTGTCTCATAAGAATGCACAATGCGCTCTTAGGGGTCAGCAGTGCAGAAATTCATGTCGACTTTCCACCCCCGTGTGAGCAGATCTGTTGCAAGGAATCAGCTTATTGGGGCCATCCCTTCTGGAATTGGAAACCTCTATATGCTGACCTCGCTGTAAGCTGTGTGAAGTAGGATGGTGCAGAGGACCCACTTTTGTAGGAACAGAACCGAGCTCTTTTGTTTGGAAGACGTTGGGAATATTCTTGGCCTTCCTGTTCAGAGCCAAGGGACACCTCTTTCATCTCCCACCTCCCATTCGCCTTCCCATTCGGCTCCTGTGCACCCATTCGCGTGCCCCTCCCCGCCTTTACCTTGTCCACCCCAGCATCCTCCCACCAGCTACCATCCCCATCTCGTTCTCCCTCCTTCCCCCCTTCATCCCCACTTAGCCCCAACTTTCTCCCTATTTTGCCATGGGCTGTTTCAACGTTCTCCTCTGTGTTCCAAGCAATGCTTCCCACCATGCTCGTCGCACCACTTCTTGAGTTGGTTGTGTGCCTTTGCTGTCCCTCCTGCCTTGCCATATATCTAGCGTTTTGCTTGCCGGACCATGCAGATCGTGTAAAACATTTGGGTTTACGCGCCGAAAATTTCAGATCAGCGAGGCTTGTTTTGCGTGTTAGAATTGATGGGCAACTGCATGGGCCACGGGCCAGCCCGTGATGGACCGGGCTGGGCACCACGAGAGGCCCCGTTTACTGACGGGAGGGGCTGGCCCAGCCCGTCGCCGGCCCATCTCTCTGCCCATGTCTACTACATCGAGACCTGTAGTAGTGGCAGGGGGGGCAGCAGGGGCAAGGGTGAGAAGTAGGGCCGGTGCCGGAGAAGGAGCAGTAGCAGCAGCAGCAGTTGGGAGGTGACTGTGAAGTTTAAACTATGCCTAAGAATGTAGGACCATGACCAACGAGGGTGACACGAATTACGTACTGAGGAGTGAGGCAGAAGAATGGTGCCACAGTAGGCAGAGCGGAGCGTCTACACGGGGGCAATGCAGTTCGCCATGGAGGTTAAGTCAGACAGGCAAAGGCTGATGAAGGGGTTTATGGCGCTGATGTGAGTCTGCATTTGAAAGCGCTATTTGAGATAGGCGTGAAAGTTATGGAGCTTGCAGTATTGAGAACACTGCACCAGAAGAAAGGGAGGCAGGCAGGTGAGAATGACCTGGCATACCCTCGTAGTGGCAACATTCCAGTTAGCAAGTTGGAGAAAGATGAGCTGGCAGCAGCTCATGCAGCAGCACAATTAGAGGCTGCACCGGAGCGGTGATTGTCACTCAACTGGACAAGCTGCGCGACAAGGGAAGGCGGGCAAGGTGACAAGCAGCAGCATCATAAGGTGCTGCACCAGCCGCCAGTGAAACAGCATACTTTCCCTGCGCCTCGGCAACTGAGTCAAACAGCACATCAATGTAGGCAGCACGGTATGGATCACCAGTAGCAGCGGCAGATGGAGAGGGAGTAGCATGCGAAGTGGGCTTGGCGCCCGCACGACTTAGCATGCGCGAGTAGACATGAGCAGTGGGCTTGGCTCGTCTTAGGTTGCCTGATGCAACTGATCAACGCCGGCTTGGCTCGTCGTTTAAGAGTGGAGCCCAGCTCGAGGGCCAGCCTGGCTCGCCAGGGGCTAAGGCGCGGCTCGAGCTGCTAGGGTCAAAACTGAAATCTTTCTGCCTAGAGCTGCGTGGATCGGTGGCGAAACGCCAACAGTCAAGAGCTTAGGGAGAGCTCCGGAGGGCTCCTACACTCTCTCTCTCAAGCGGTCCTTTGTATTGCTGAATCCTGGGTACAAGCTAGGCAACGGGGCAGGGAACAGGTATGTGGTAAAGCCGGCCTAGGGAGTCTATGGGCCTACTCGAGCCCCGCATGGGGTTCGAGGATGGCGAAACAGTCCCCGAGCGTCATGTCTGCCTCTGGGTCGCCTGGGGAAGGCCGCTCCGCCGGCAAAGCTTCGTTGACCTTTCCGAGGTAAGAGAGGGCCTGCCCCCGGTTGGAGTGTGATGGACCAGCGCTGGCGGAACTGGCTGAGCAGTTTCCCCGCCTGGTAGGAGCTTGGATCCGCGTTGAAAAGGCGTCGGGCTTCCGTGTTCCCCAAGAGCTTCAGGAAGGTGGGTACCTCGTCGCAGGGGCAGCCATAGGTCTCGACTGCGAGTGGGAAGAAGACCACGTACTCCGCCTGGTAGGAGTAGTGGTCTGTCTTCTTGGCCGCCTGCTCTCGAGCCATATATCCGCGGCCTCGGGGTCGCGGGTGCTGATGGGGTCTGTGACAGTGACGTCGCAGATCCACACCGCCCCGGAGTCCCTATCCCGGATGGCCAGGTCGGCCGTCTTGCCGTCCACAGGGCTGTACATGGCCGTCTCCTTCGTGACAATGAACTCGGCATCCCGGGCCATCCGGATGCACTCGTCACGGAGGGCATTATGGGTGTTGGTGCGGCCATGGCCGGTTCCGCAACGGAACAGGTGGTTCGGAAGGCGGGGGTCCGGGATTTTCACGTGCTTAAAGCAGTCGCAGAGCTTGGGCGCGGGGAAGGGCAACCCCAGGCGGAAGGCCAGCGCGATGGCAAAGTAGGGGGGGGCTAGCCGAAGAGAGGGGAAAATGGGTATGGCAAGGAGCCAATCCCCGGCCCCGTACCCTGTTAACGAGAGCATCCGCTGGGTATGCTCGCTCAGAGGGTCCAGCTCCATCCCCCGAGTGGCGGCCAGCAGCTCCGCGAATCTGGAGCCCTGGACGTCCAGGGCGAGGCAGTGTTGCAGGGGGACGTCCGAGGGCTCCAGCCGCTCAGACTGCAGCAGGTCCAGAGCCGCGGGTGGGAGCGCTGCCTCGCACGCCGCCAGCCAGGTGTGGAGTGGGGTGGGGCTGAAGTAGGGCGGGGCAAGGGACTGTGCAACCAAGGCCAGTGGGACCGCAGGGGCGGGCGGCAGGGAGGCCAGGAGGGCCCGGGCCCGTGCCACTCTGGTGAGGAAGGAGTGGGGCCCCTCCACTGTTGGGTCCGCCAGCCCCAGGCCTCCGAGGGAAGGAGGAAGGGAGGCTTGAGCCCAAGTCCGAGCCTGTTCTACCTCCCCCCTTGGCGGCTGCAGGTTGCAGGCCGAGAGGAGGGTATGGAATAGATCTCTCCCCCAGTCGGACCACTCCGCTAAAGGCTGGAGGTCGAGGGGTGTTGTATGGATGAGGTATGCCACCCTTAGGGAGATGCAGCGGGTGAGTAAGAGGGAGGTCGTCTGGGGGTCCATGTGGGCTGGCCAGCTCCGCCAGTTTGTCCCGGAGGAAGAGTGCTGCGCCCTCCGGTGGTCTGACGTGGCTTCCAAGTACGCGCAGGCCTTTGGGGCAGAAGGGGATGCCAGGTGGGACGTTGGAGGCGGCAGCAACAGTAGCCGACCACGCCGCGCACTTAGCAGGGTTGTGGGAGAAGCCTAGGGGCCTGAGCGCGGCTGTGAGGTAGGTAAATGTCGCCGCGCAGGCGTCCGGCTCGCCAAGGAGCGTCACGTCGTCTCTCTCTCTCTCTCTCTCTCTCTCTCTCTCGAATGGTCCTTTGTTGCTGGGAATCCTGGGTACATGCTAGGCAAGTGGAGCAGGCGTAGGCTAGAGCCGCTGGTGGGAAAGGCCAGCACCCGGCCCTACCAACCCCCCCCCCCCCCCCCCCCCCCTTTTTCTAAGGTTCTATCACGGCGAAGCAGTCCCCGAGGGACATGCCCGCTTCAGGCCCTCCCAAGGGGGGCCACTCTAGCGGTGACGCCTCGTTCACTTTCCCCAGGTAGGCCAGTGCCTGTCCTCTTTGGAGGGTGACGGACCAGCGCTGGCGAAACTGGCTAAGTAGTTTTGCCGCCTGGTACGAGGAGGGGTCGGCATTGAAAAGGCGCCGGGCGGCCGTGTGTGCCAGGAGTTTGAGGAAGGCCGGCACTTCCGCGCAGGGGCAGCCGTATGTCTCAACGGCCAGCGGGAAGAAGCCTACGTATTCTGCCCTGTGGCGGTACATGTCGGTCTTCTTGTCCGCCTGCTCCCTTGCCATGTAACCGCGCCCCTTGCGGGCGAGGGGGTCCCTGGAGCTGACTGGGTCTGTAACAGTGACGTCGCAGATCCAGACTGCTCCCGAGTCCCGGTCCCGGACGGCTAGGTCGGCGGTTTTGCCATCGACCGGGTTGTAGAGGGCCGTCTCTTTCGAGACGATGAGCTGCGCGTCCTGGCCCATACGGATGCATTCATCCCTGAGGGCGTTGTGGGTATCGGTGCGCCCGTGCCCTGTCCCACAACGGAACAGGTGGTTGGGGAGCCGTGGGTCCGGGATCTGGACCTTCTTGGCGCAGTTGCAAACTCGTGGTGTGGGGAAGGGGAGGCCCAGGCGGAAGGCGAGGGCTATGGCGAAGTGAGGGGGTGCCAGCCTGAGGGAGGGGAAGAGGGGGATTGCTAGGAGCCAGTCCCCTGCCCCATACCCCGTGAGGGAGAGGAGCCGCTGAGTGTGACCGCTGAGGGGGTTGAGCTCCATTGTCCTGGTCGCCTCCAGCTGCTCGGCGAACCGTGCTGCATGGACTTCCAGGGCGATGCGGTGCTGGAGCGGGGCGTCTGACGGTTCCGTGAGCTCGGCTCGTAGTAGCTCCCGGGCGGGAGCTGGCAGCGCCGCTTCGCATTCGGCTAGCCAGGAGTGGAGGGGGGTGGGGCTGGCGTAGGGTGGTGTGAGGGAGCGGGCCACTGCCCCGAGGGGGCTGGAAGGGTCCTTGGCGAGGGAGGCCAGGAGCCGCTGGGCGTGGGCTACGCTGGTAAGGAGGGCGTGTGGCCCCTCGACTGCGGGGTCTGTCAGCCCGAGCCCACCGAGGGAGGGGGGGAGGGAGGCCTGCTGCCACGTGCGCGCCATCTCATGATCCCCGCGCGGGGGCTGGAGGTTGCACGCCCTCAGGAGGGTGTGGTAGAGTTGTTGTCCCCACTGGGACCACTCCTCTGCTGGCAGCAGATTTAGCGGCGTCGTGCGGGTCAGGTAGGAGACTCGACGAGAGACGCAGCGGTGGAGGAGGAGGCTGGCGGACTGGGGGTCCATGGCCGCTAAGGTGGGGAGAGGCTTGGCCATTGCGGCCAGCTGTTCGCGCAGGAAACTGGCCGCTGCGTCTGGTGGGCCGATATGGCTGCCCAAGATCCGCAACCCGGAGGCGCAGAAGGGGATTCCCGGGGGGAGGAGGTCGGGGGGGGAGGGGCCGCGGACCATGCCGCGCACTTGGCCGGATTATGGGTCAGGCCTAGTGGGAGCAGCGCGTGGGTGAGATGGGCGAAGGCGGCGGTGCATGCCGCTGGCTCTCCCATCAGGGTTATGTCATCGGCGTACGCCAGGCAGAGGACGCTGGGGTACGCCTGGGCGGTCTCTCGCAGGGCGGGGTGCATGGCGGCGGCGAAGAGAAGGGGTCCCATGGGATCCCCTTGCCGGACGCCACGAGCGCTGAGGAGGGGCGGGCTGTTGAAGGCGTTAGATAGGTCGACCTGGAGCAGGAGGGCGGACGGGAATTCCGTGGCGAAAGCCCTTGCGCCATGGATTATCGCTTCGCCTCCGGCTTTCACTGCCACGCCGAATTGCAGTGGGAGGAGGTGGCTTTGGGCGGGCTCGTTCATGGCAGCGAGGCCCGCTTTTGCCACCAGGCGGTGGAGGCACTCGCCTACTGCGATTGGGCGCGTGCCTCCCTCCGGCTTCGGAAACGCCAGCAGGCGGCTGGCTGTGAGGAGCTCCGCGACTTCTGGTGTGGCAGTCCCTTTTAGGAGGAGCTGTGCTACTGCGTGGAGATTGAGGGCGACGGAGGCGTTCGCGAGGGCTGCGTCGCGGAGATGTTCAAAACACATTCCCGACGGCCCTGCACCGACACCATTTTCGCTGCGGCAAAGTAACCGTACGAAATCAGCCTGCGAGATGGAGGTGGGAGGCTCTGAGTCGTCGAGGGCGGGCCAGTCAAGGGACTCGGTCAGAGGGGGGGGATGCTTGGAGGTCAGCACAGCGAGGACCTCTGGCGTTGACTCGCTGACCGGCGTTGAGTCCAACGCCAGTAGGGCACGTCTGAGGCTGCCTCGACGGACGAGGCCCTCGGCGCGAGAAATTTTGCCAAGGGCGTCTCCAGAGTGTCGTGGCAACGGTGGGTTGGTTATCGCATCGACAGCAGCCAGGTAAAGTAGTTCCCATTCGCCGGCCAGGAACAGCTGCAGTCGTCGCTCGACTGCTGGCCAATCCGGGTGACGTGGCGAATTGAGGCGAAGGGTGAGTCTGGGTGTGAAAAGTAACAGGCGCCAGCCTGCGAGGCTGGATGGGTGTTTGGCGATGTGGAGCAGGGGTGTCAGGAGCGCCAGAGCGAAAAGCTGGCGTAATTTCTGGGGGATTCGACGGGAAAGGGGGGGCTGGCGACTGTCGCAAAGCAGTCCCGTGTCCCAATTTGCGATCCCCGTGAAAAGGGGTTCGTTATTCGCCAGATCTTCTGGCGAAAATTGGCGCGAGGGTTGGCAGGGTTGTGCCTCGTTGGCCCCTTGATTCCGTCGAAGCGGCGCCTGCTGCTCCCTTTGAATCCGCCCCGCCCGCCTTTGCCTTCGTTCAGGTATGTCGGGATCGTCGTCCTCTCCAGCTGAATCCTCTGTGCTAGTCTCGTCCCTCGCCTCCTGCCTATAAGTGGCATCCGCACGCTCCTCCGCAGCAGTCGTATCCTCCGCTGAATTTCCTCTTAAAGCCCTTCTCACAGCCCTGTGGAAGCCATTCAGGGGGCCTCCACCAGCCATCGGACCAGGCGAGCGGCCGCGCCCTCTGCCGCCGCGTCCTCTCTGCGCGACACTGCCCCGCGCTGTGGAGCGTGGGGTAGGCGGGCGTTCGCCCCGCTGCCTCGCCGTGCCAGCTCTGGGGGTCATCGGCGAATCGGATGGCCGACCTAGCCGGTCGCGTTCGGAGGGAGCGCTCCGTTGACCGTGAGAGTTCGGGGGAAACCGTCCCCCCCCGAGGTCGGTCGAGCTCCCCCCCCCTGTCGGACCAGCGGTGGGCGCGCGGGCTCCCAGTGCCGTCCACGAGCGCGCCAGCGTCCCCCAGTCGGATGCGGGCGGCGACGCCGCTTCGGCTGGAGGGGCGAGCGGTGGTGGCTGGTGCAGAGGTCCGCGAGTGTCCCCCTGCTGGGTTGTCGCCGCCTGCACTATCCCGCGCGGCGAGCCCCCGCCCCCCCCCTGTGCTGCCGTCTCGTCCCCATCCGCAACAGCAACGTGCGCCGAACGGCCCCTCGGGGCGAGCTGGTCCGCGTCGGGGGCGAAGGGGAAGCGCACTGGAGAGGCGGCTGGCGCGTACTGCCGCGACGCTGGAGGGCATCCTCGAGCGGGCTGGCGCTGGGCTGCTCCCTTCGCCCCCCCAGCAGGACCCTCCCCGACGGCTCCCCCTCCAGTCGCAGCCTCTATTGCCGCCTCAAGTCCTTCCTCCGCCCCTCCCCGACCAGCCGGCTCCTGTTGGAGCGTGTCCCCCTCAGTTGCAGCATGTGCAACCTCGTCCTGTGGTGGCGCGCGGGGATGAGCAAACGAGCCTGCATTTCCCGCCGCCTCCTCTGGCGGCTCCTCTCCTCTCCGCACCTGCTCCGATGCTGCAGCCATTACCGCCTGGGGGCCCGTATCCTGCCCTGCGCCCTGCCGCGCACCTGCCGCCCCCGTACGTGTCGGTCCTCTCCCCCCCGGGGTACTACGACCCGCATCGCGGGTCCCTGCCAGCGCCCCAGATGGGCGGCCCCGTATCATCCGCTGATACGCTCCCGGAGTGGCATCCCCCCTCGTCATGGGCTGGGTCTGCGGAGTGGGCCGAACCCCAGGTTGGGCTCTACCGCGGAGGGGGCGTGGTCGGTCAGTTCGTTCCCCCACGGCGGCGTGCGCCATCCCCACAGGGTGTAGAGGCGGGGGCAGAAGCAGCGGAGACGGGGGGCACGGAGTCCCCAGGCGAGGGATCTCCCCGTCGAGCCCGGGGGGCCGGGGTGGCGGCGCGAAGGAGCACGCCGACGGTGGGGCTGGGGGCGGTGGCTCCCGCGGTGATAGCGGTCCCAGCCGCCACGCTTCGTCGTCTTGGGCACGCTCGGAGGGGGACCGAGATATTGCTGACGATTCTGGCGGCGGCGAGCTCCGTGCTGGGGAACTCAGGGGGCCTGTCAATGGCCCCGTACTTCCCCCTTCAGGGCTGCATGGAAGCAGCCATAGATCTCGCTGTGGAGGCTGCGCGCGCGCGGCCCGGGCCCTCCCGGGGAACTGGCACGGACCCTCTCCTTCTCGCCGCGCTCCGCCAGGTGTCGGCGAGCATAGACTCGGCGTCAGCTGCAGGGCTTGTAGCTGGCGCCGTGTCCACGCTGCAGGTCCTGATGTCGTACCAGGCCGCGTTGCTGGAGGAGGCCGGGCTGGCTGCTGTCGCGGAATAGCAGGGCGGCGGGAGTAGGTGCGGCGGGGCGGTGAGTCCTGCAGTCTGAGCGCCCCCGCGCGGCGGATCAGGTTCTCCATGCCTGCTTCAGTATGCCCTGTAGGGGCCTTGGTGGCCAATGTTGTATACTCCCGCTGAGTCCTATATGGTTGTGAAGTTGCTTGCCATCCCCGAACTGCGCGGCCGGAGGCCGCGCCGCGAGCGGCGGCGGCCGAAGGCCGCCGGCGCGAGCCGAAAACAGGGAGAAAAAGAGAATGAATGGAAACTAAACAAGGAGAATGAGGAGAGAGAGGGCCTTATATAGCTGAGGAGAGGCTCATGCTCTCTCTCTCTCTCTCTCTCGCTCTCTCTCTCTCTCTCTCTCTCCCTCTCTCTCCCTCTCTCTCTCCCTCTCTCCCCCTCTCTCAAGCGATCCTGCCCATGATGTTGTACTTATAAATGTCGAGATGCAAAGTATTATGGTGGTGGCGGTAAAGCCCTTACCACTCCTAGCATGTGTTCAGTTTAGGAGCAAGCGGCATATGATGAACCTAATCTGAAACAATTCTACGGTTGGCCGATCGAAGATCTGAAGCCAACAGAACTAGCAAAGCAAGCCTAGGAACAACATGTTTACTTGCTTGTGTCTGTCTTCTTCCGACCCACGCCACACAGGGATCTCTCGTCCAACAGTATCACCGGCTCCATTCCCAGCAGCATCACCTCGCTCACTCAACTCGTTTCTCTGTACGAAGCTCATTCAAATCTTGCGGTCACTCTATGCCAGGGTTGCATCGCTATTGCTTGTGACGTGACATAATCTCTAGCGCATTCCTCGATCCAGAGCATGCTTGGATGATCTGACTCTTTAAACGGCATCCATACCTTGTGGCAGCCATGTGTTCCGCATGCTTGCATGCACCATCCATCCATTCCAACATACATGCTTTCAACAAATTTCCCTCAATTTCCCTAACCTGTTGTCATATTCTGTGCAACCCTAGTTGGATGTACGCTAACGTTTACGAACGTTTTCGTAGTGTTTTTACATTTTTTTACAACTGTCCTGTTTTTAGCTTGTGGTTACGGTGGTGGTCAGCTTATGAAATTCTCTGGGCTGCCCAGATACTTTCATGTTGCATGATTCCGCATCAGAGCTCGCACAGAATTTCTGCAATTGATTTTTTTTTTCTTGCTCGCCACTCGACCGGAACTTCGGCATCCCCTAATTTACGCGCCATGCCCCCTTATCCGTGCCACTTCAACTCTTTGACTTCCCTCTCTACAAACTCCAGCACCTCTCCTTTCACACGCGTATTTGGAAACATTCCATACCTCCTCGTTGTTTCAGATTCGGTTAACGGCCAAACTATGGTAGTGTCTTGTTTTTATCGCATTTGTTTTGGACCAACTGGCACATACACGCTAGAGTGTTTTGGCATTGACGTTGAAAATAACGCGCAAGTTACATTGACATGGCTTGAATCAGAACTAAAGTGATGTAACAACCAATTTTCCAACAAAAGTTCCTGATTAGTTGTTTTTTTTTGTTTTGTTTTGTTTTGTTTTTTTTGTGGAAATTCGGTTTCACCCTCTGCTGAAGACATGGTTGTCGATCAATATACTCTATGAAACTTTCTGCCTGGCCCCTACTACTCCCCTGCCCTCCTTCCCTCCCCATTCTCCCTCGTCTTTGCACGGACTATCTTCACGGGCAAACAGAAATATAGGTGGGAATCACTTGGATGGATACATTCCAGACTCTCTTGACTCGATGGTCGTGTTGGAGAATCTGTAAGTATCATGACAACAGTAGCTGGGGTGTTGGAGCCCACTGATGACGACACTTGATGGCTTTTCCCTGTATTACTCTGGAGTGTGTCGAATTTCTCAATCAATGTTTTATATTCATGATCCTCCTTTCATCTATCCCTTTTATTTCCCTCCCTTGGTTCCTTTACCCCTGGGTTTCCATCTTCTTTGCGTTACCCATGGGTTACACCATTACTCTTTACGGACTGTCAGAAATATGAGTGGAAGCCACTTGAAAGGGTCCATTCCAACTACTCTTTGCAACATGGGCAGCTTGAAGTCTCTGTGAGAATAATCATTGGCAGCAGTACTGCCACTTCTTCTTTAAGGCGCACTAGCTTCTGACTATTACATTGCTGCATACACTCCTTTTCATGGCTATCATTGCAGTGCCTGCAGTTCTGTTCACAATATCGGGAACCTTGCTTGAGTCATCCTTAAGTTTAGAATTGTTGACAGATTCTTTTGCCACACATTTCCGTATCAGCGTCTTCATTGCGAAATATGTTGGTCCAAACCACCCAACTGTGGAAGGGCAATTAGAATCGTAAAAGCACAGGTTTTGTTTCCCCAACCCTTGAGTGTGATTACTACACGAGTTTCATGATAGATATAACACTTCGTCCCTGTGCACCTATGTTCAAATGAGCAGGTACATGAATGATAACCAGCTCACTGGGGGCATTCCGGGCTTCATCAACCCAATGAATCTGACTGAACTGTACGTATATGTCTGAATTTTGTTATTCCACAAGCACAAACTCAAGGACATCATGCAAGTGCACACAAGTGAAACAACAGTCACTTGGAGAATGAGTACCTGGCATACATGCATACATACACACACGCACACACACACGCACACGCACACACACACACACACACACACACACACACACACACACACACACACACACACACACACACACACACATGGACGCACATGCATGCATGCATGCATTCCTTCGTAGTGTTGAGCGAGGCACAACACTCTCTCCACATACGATCCTTGTTCTTCTGTGTCTCCTCCTGTCCATCAGGGTGTTGAGTGGGAATCAGCTGAGTGGGCTCATCCCCCCCTCTATTACCTTCTGCAAACAGCTTCAACGTCTGTGAGTTTCCAGTTCGCTCATTCTACAGCCGCTGCTTCGTTCCATGGATAAGCACCAGGTTGTGGAGCAAACGGTGCTACTGCTACCCTTGCCACGGCGTTTGCTAATGTTGCCACAGTTTTTGAGAGGTGCCGATATTTAGTTGTGCAATGCAATCTAACTAAAGATGCCTTGCCATGTGGTCTGTCTACAAGGGAAACACATCCTTCCAGGAAACATATGTCATCCATGTCACGCGATTGTATTCCAGGTGGCTCGACAACAATTCACTGAGTGGGATCCTTCCAGACTCTCTTGAGATCATGTCTCAGCTTACCTCCTTGTATGGAAGTAACAGGTTCTCTGTCGTGCTGCTGTGTCATACTTCTTTGGTTGTTGCAATTCCATCAAGCAATCAACTATTCAATTGTTACCCTAATGGCCAAGCATGCCCGAGAGGTGGAAAACAGTCTCACGGCCCCATACACCTATCCACATTATCCTTATGGCTGCAGGAGAATCAATGACACTAGTCTCAGTGGAACATTGCCAACGTTTCTTGGGAGTTTCAGTTCCCTCGATTCACTGTACGTGAAGCACTAGCCATCCACCACATGGTCCGCACCGCCCATGGCATGGAGCTATGCATGGCGGCTGCAGAGCATGTTTGCTACAAATCGGGAATAGCGTCTGAGGCTCTTCAAACTAACCAAATCTTTGTGGCAAAGTGTGCTGGGAGACGTTGGAGGTGGTAGGTATTGCTATGGGTAAGAGCAACGAGTCAATGAGAAGTTCAACATGTTGAGATGTCAATGAGAACAGTAAATGGCCTACTAAGTGGCATAAATTATATTGATTTTGAAGAAAACTCCAACATGTTGCGATATTACGGATCAATGAGAACAGTAAATTCCCTACAAAGTAGCAGAAATTATACGAATGTAATGACCTATGTGGCTGTGCCTATGTATTCCATCTTTCCATCTCCCATTTCTCTTGCAGCAACATCAGCGGCACAAACCTCACGTGCCCACCGGACTACATCGCCTGTGGACCAACACAGTCGCCTCAGACAGCCTTCTGTCGAACGTGCCCTTCCTTCTGCAGCACTTGTGGCAAACCATCACCAGGTATGCGGAAAAGCCTGCTTGCACGAGAGCAAGACAGTGTTGGTGAAAAATCTTCCCTGCGCAAGGCATGACATAAGCTGCGGCTCCCATGGGCTGAATTGTAACACTGGCTTTAGATAACCAACAGAGTGCACTACAACATGGCACCAGTGTTTTTCAACCACGGATCTGCAGCACTAAGACCAGTCATTATTCTCGTGTCGTGCCATTACAATTCGTGCACCACCCACGTGATCCTCCCCTGTGCAAGTTTGACGGCTCGTCAGACTGCAATAAGCTGTGCTCTTCATCTCTGGTTTGACACTCTGCTCAGCTGCACCTTCTTCAACTTGTGGTGGGAATGAACTTGTTGTTATGCCCCTTTCATTGTTCTATGCTCGTGTATTATCAGCCACAAACAGCAGCAGCGAGTCATCTTCATCAGCAGCAGCATCTGGGGGTGGAGGTGTATCGGTGGGAGTCATCATTGGCATTGCCGTTGCGGCTGGGGTCATTCTCCTACTTATCATTGTCGTACTGCTCTACTTCAGGCAGAAGATGCAGCAGAAGAAGAAGGGTAAGGACAAAGGAAGACAAGTTGCAAAGAGTTTATGCTCTTAATTTAGACACTGTTTGTGGTTCTGTGCAGTTAATTTCTGCATGTGCCCCCCTTCATCCCTCACTCCACAACCAGGCCTGGGTACCAGCCTGGCCGCTGCACACTGCACGGAGTTCTCTCTGGATGAGGTCCTCAAGGCCACCAATGACTGGTCGGAGGACAACCAGCTCGGCGCAGGTGCCTTTGGTGATGTCTACAAGGGCGTGTCTCCCCGTGATGGCACCACAGTGTGGGCTGTGAAGCGAGCCAAGCTGATAGATGTGGACTTCCAGAGGGAGGTCAGTGAGCCGCACCTGATGTTCTGGGTGGTATGAAGCTCTGGTGATCCACGGGAAGCATCTCGGGAATGGCTGGACTGCAGGAAATTAGTGAAGCAGGAAGAAAAAATAATTTGAAGAAAACAACAATGTTTTTAAGACTTTCTTGTGTTAAGTGTACCTGACAATTCAAGCTTGTAGGGTCTTCTATCTCCGTTCCTATATTTCGGTTGGTCCTTGTTCTTTGCTTATTCCATTCTTCATTCTCTTGGCTCCCTTTGTTCCTCTTTCTCCACTTCTTTCTCTACTCCTCTGTGCTCACTTTCTCTTTCAGATCCTCCAAATGGCCGACAAGAACCATCCCAACATTGTGCGGCTGCTCGGGTTTGCGGTTGGAGGGGACGTGAGGTCGAAAATCGAGCAGATCTTGATCTACGAGTTTGTGTCCAATGGCGATCTCCACAAGTGGATTGATCGCGGTGAGTGTGCAAGTCACTGTACCACATCACTCAGGTATCGGAATCCAGGAGTGCAAGGGAGGAGGCAGTTCTTTGGGGGGGTTTCGGTCTATACGACTTGACGCCTAATGTGCTCGAAGTGCTAAGACGTGAACTTTTTGACACTACTCGAAGAGGCTGGGCTCACTTCTGATGGTGTGATGGATGTGTGTTGGCGTCGAGTCCTGTGCAAGTTCAAGGCATGAGTGTGTGAAAAGAAGCAATCAGACTCCTCACCAGAAATGCTTGTCAGTCTGGAACCAATCACATCTGTCAGTATCTCAACTGTCTGACTTGGGGATATGTTATGGAGCAGGCTGGACGTGCCAATGAAGGTGGGGTGTTAACCCAGACACATAATCTGCTGTTTGGTGTGAAAATAACCGACACAGACAGCATTCTCTACGTATCCATCTGTTTCAAGCAGACAACTTCTAGGGGAAAGGGGTCGGTTTTCCTGTATGGCTATCCTCTTATCGTGTATGATCGGTGCAAATGTCTTTGGCCTTTATGCCACTTGCTGACAGCATGGAAGGTTAGGTCTATGCGCACGCTGTGTGCGGTTGAATCTGTCACTACTACGTAATTCCACAGATTCAGCTCAATTTTGTCAGATCAGTTATGAGATGGGTGGAATTATGTCACCCTCTCTTTGTTGATGTGTTCACCGTTGTTGTCAACTTCTTTTCTTATTCTTTTGCAGATGCATCCAATCCTCTAAGCTTCAAGCAGCGGCTGGACATTCTCATTGGAATTGCACGCGGCTTTGAGTACCTCCACAGCTTCGACATTGTCCATCGCGACATCAAGCCGGCAAACATCCTCATTACTGCTGACATGCAGGCAAGCTTGGTTCCACCTCAACTTGTGTCATGGTCTCAAAACAGAAGGGACATGCATGAATCAAGAGTGCATTCGGACAAAGCTCACATGGGCAACAACAGTGTGACCTTCTTTTTGAGTTGTTTTTGCCTTTTTCTCTTACACTCAAGTTTCTCTTCTCGATCACTGTTTCCTTTGCTCTTCGCTCATTGATGCTATCACCCGACCGCTCACCACCAGGCCAAGATTGCAGACTTTGGGCTTGTGAGGGCGGGAGAGGGCACCACAGTGGGCGCTACTCGAGTCATGGGAACGCCGGGCTATCTGGATCCAGTTTACTCCAGGACGTCACTGGCAACTTCTGCCAGCGATGTCTACAGGTGAATTTAGAATCCCATAAGATCATGGCATGTAATTTAGATGACTCTTGGAGGTGCGATAGTCTAGGATTAACCTGGAACCGGCTCTACTCATTTCTGGCAACGCACAAGCAACGCATGAGCATGGAACCGTCTAGATTCTTTTGTTCTTCTTAATAATACCTTCTTGCTGCTCTCACCATCCCTCTTGCTTGACAGCTTCGGTGTGCTCATGCTTGTGGTCCTCACGGGGGAGGCTCCAATTATTGAGTCGGCTGGAGAAACCAGGCAGATCACTTCGTGGGTGAGTGCAACCACCTTGTTGCGTGTCTGCAAGTGAAGCCAATGAATCAGGTATTCATGTCATTAGTTGCCTTTGACTTATCACCCCTCTTCTGCGGATTCTCTCAGGCATCCGAGTGTGAGGCCTTGGGTGACTTGAAGAGCCTCACTGACTCCAGAATAGAGGCCCCTGGGGACGCTGTGCTGCGTGTGACTCAGCTGGCGATCAGCTGCACTGTGGAGCGCACTGCAAGCCGGCCAAGCATGGCTCACATTGCCAACGAGCTGAAGGCCATCCGGGATGAGGTGGCGGGGAAGGATGAGCTGAGCGCTGCGGTTAAGGTGGATGCGCAGGTGCAGGAGATGAAGGAGGCATTTGGAGATGTGGATGCGTTTGAGGAGTCACTCAAGATGATTGGGGAGAGCTTCTCCAACGAAAACCATGTTTGAATTCGTTAAGGGTGTGATACTATAGTGGAAGCCGGCTTCAGATTTCTCTGCTTGCCTTCTTGTTCTACGAGGTGTTTTATTTTGTTGGCATCTTGTCATCTTATAGTATTGATCAGGACCTCAAATATCAGGGTAATGTTAGAATAGCAGAAATGATTGAAATGAGAAGTACAGAATGGTTTTGACCTAGTGAGTTGTACTCCCTAAGGCATGCCCCTATCTAGGCTATATGAACCAGGCCCTCAGATTCGTTTTAGGCCATGCTGATTGATCAGTGTAGATCTCAAAAAACACCCTGAAAATCAGTTTTTGGTAGTGGTTGTCTTACTGGTTGGCCCTGGTTCTTTCGTTTTCAAGGTTGATTCATCAGGGTTGGTACAAGAGAACACCCTGAAAAAAAAAAAGCAAAACCAGCGTAAAAAACCTGATAACTATGGGCCTGATATGAACACATACAAAATAGGGCTGACGTTTCATAAAAAAGCACCCTGAGCTGTCAAATGGGATTTTTTTTTTACCCTGAGGGCCTTGTGTTGAAATTTTGGCTTCCCTGATTTCTCAGTGTTCTGGAACATGCAACCCTGAAACCTCCAGGGTTGGCTAGCCACAAACAGGGTTGGATTGCACTTGCAAAAAATCAGTTAAGAGAACGTTAGGATTGTACAGCTAGTAGTTTAGCAAAAGCACCACTACGCCAGTCTACAAATTCAGTAAAGTCCTCTATCTAGTCTAGACTTTACAAGATTCCACGCCACTAGCTACCCTTAACTAAAATTATGGGCCATCCATGTTCACATCGTCCTCTGCCTCGTCATCGGACAGAAACGGGTTGTCTTCCACTTCAGTAGGAGCCTCTCCCCCCTCTACCCCCTCCTCTCCCTCATCCTCTGCCCAATCCCCCATGTAGTCGGGGACTGCCTCCTCCTCCACCCTCCCTTCTGCCCCCTCAATTGCCTTAGCCTTACGCTTCCTCTCCGCTGAGGCAAACAAAACAGACTTAGCAGGGCGCCTCAACTTCTCGCGCCAACACTCAAGGGCCTCGTCCCAGCCAAACTCATACTGCAGCAGGGAAATGACCATCAGCTCGCTGAGGCGCGCATTGCACAACGCGCCCCGCACCCATGACTTGATGACGTTCTGCCGCGAGAAGCCTCGTTCACACTCCACTGTGCTAAGCGGCAGGACAACGCACGCCTGCCACAATCGCATGAGGTTGGGCCAGCGCCTGCCTAAAGGGTTGGGGGAACAGAGTGCAAAGAACAAGACCAGTGCATTAGTGCAACTAGTCAACAAGCGATAAACAACAACTTCCAATGGGAAGATTAGAACCGGCATGAAAACATGCAACAAACGTCCTTCGAACAGCAGTCTCTCACAAGGTCGACTCCGTCGAGCCGAGGTAGTTCGTCAGGCCTTGATGGAATCCCTCGTCGGCATGGTGGCTCAGCATCAGTGGCGCCCACGTAACCAGCTCCTTCTGCGCAGCTTGCAAGGAAAATCCTGTCAGCCTGTTGTCGAAAAAGGCATTGCAGCCATGTAGTTACTCCTTCAGCCTCTTCTCTCTCTGCTGCTTCATCCGAGGCCACTTCGACACGCAGAAGAGCTTCATCGGGCCGAGATTGTTCAGGTCCAGCATCCTCGTCTTCAGGAAGCTTATCGTGTCCTTCACGAACTCCGTGCAGAGCCGCTCGCAATCGGGGTAATTGCTGCGGAAGGCATGCCCATCGATCTGCTTCTCGTGCATGGTGTAGGTGTGCATGACTGGGCTGCCGTCCTTGTCGATGCCCCGCACCTTTACGCGTTTGTTCCCTCCGTGCGCGTAGACGGCCAAGAAAGCCAAAAGCCACGTGCCTTCGATCCCCCCACCGAACACCTCTCCGCACTCCAGGTAGCGGTGGCGGTGGTCCCCTGTCGCCTCGTCGATGTCCTTCGTCACTTCGGTGACATCGACCTGGTGGAAGTGACAGACAAGGGAGTGGACTCAGAGGGAGATTCCAAACATGCATGCATGGTACAAATACTACAACATGCATAGTGGTAGAAGCTCACCTCCCTCTTCTAGAATTTGAGGTTGAGCTCATTCATCACTCCGAGCACGTCCGCCAGGAAAAAAAGACAGAACTGAAACTTGTAACAGATGACGACTTCACACAGCTCATGCCCGTACTCATGAAACAGAATAATAGTGGTGCCAAGGACCTTACAGAGGCGCCGCACAGCCTCACCCCTTGAAAGCCAGCGCACGGTGTGAATTCCTTGCACTTGAAGGTTGGTGTTGTGTATTGCCCGCTGCAGGTACTTGAAGCGTTGACTCCAGACACATGAACGTGAAGATCGGCCAGAGTTCAAATCACAAGGTCGACCATGTCGAAGTTTGGAGAAACAGTGGCGGCGTCCTTCACCGCCAAGGCTTCCCTGCATGGTGCACACAAAGGAATTTTAATCAAGTAGTTGTACGAAACCTAAGCGACTAAAATGACAAGCGGTTAGACCTGTGTGCGATGTAGTGCAAAGAGACGAGATGGGGGATGTGCTCGCAAAGTCGGGCGACGAGACCATTGTCTCGGCCGACCATGGCAGAGGCGCCGTCGGTGCTCATGCCGGTGATTCGGGAGAGGTCGATGCCAGTTGCTTGCAAGTGAGCCAGAAGAACGGCGAGGAGAGACGCGGCGTCGCACTTTTCGACGGTCAAGAGAGCAAAAAACTCTGTGACAACACGATGCGCACGCAAGAAGGTTAGATAAACAATCAAATGTTTACCGCGAGTACGGTCAGTGCTCTCGTCGCAGCTGATGCCAAGGTAGGGTGAGGCGAGAATGTGTTGCATTTGTCGGCGCTGCAGGTAGGATGCCAAGCTGCTGACGAGCTGACAGAAGCCATACCTGTTGTAGTAGAAGTAGCAACATGGTGTTTGTTAGACCTATTAAAAAAATGAAGGATATGGTGTACTTCGAATCAGTGCATTACCGTGTCAGGTAGACTCCGTAAGACTGCAGCGGAATGTCCGGGGTCTCCTGCTTGGCCATGAAGCGGAGTAGCCTCGGGTACATGCTGATGGGTGCATCACACTTGCACAGGAAGTCAACGCGCGTAGGAGCCTCATGACGCGCTTCCCCTCGATGTCAATCCGCGCGTAATTCTCCATGCGCCTCTGGGTGCTGGCGATGTCTTCGGTGATCTCCATCTGACGCTTGACTGCTACTTCGTGGGCTGTCGTGTGTTCGTGGAACCGCATCGCTTGCGTCTGCAGGTCACGTGCCCCATCGCGGCTGTTGGAGTACAGTGTTGTCTCTTTGCCGAGAGCCTTGCACACACTGCACTTCAACGTAGGGTAACCGTCTTTCGTTTTCGTTAGCAGAGGCCAAGGGAAAAATGGAAGCCAGCTGGTCTTATACTTGTGCTCAGCCATGAGATACTTCTGCTCGATGAGTTCTTTCTTCGAGAGCTTCGGCGGCTCGGGTTCTGGAATAGCAGGGGCCTGAGGTTCAGGCAACGTGCGAGGTGGCGACGGACGACGTAGCTTCCCGCCGAGGACTATCGTGCTCTGGGTGTACTTCCCGATGCGTGCCTTTTTCCCAGATGAAATCGTGGAAGCACACTCGACCGTGTAACGCACGGTCGTGGCTGTCTCGCAGTCCAGATGCCAAGGGCCCCGGCTAGATGAAGCGACAGCAGGCGGAGGTACATAGGGAGCGGGAGTAGATACGGGTTGTGATGGTGTAACAACTGCGGTGGGAGACCACAAGATGTCTAGAGCGGATCTACGGACCTCCACGGGGGGTCCCTACCTAGTCCAAAACCATCATCGGCAGCGGGAGACTCACCAGACTCTCCTACATCCGCCATGGCTAGTAGCGGCGGAAACGATCAAAACGAGAAATCGACGCGACGAAAGTGGACGAGAAATAAGAATGGAGCATCTCGTATCTGCGATGTGAAGAAAAGGAGGAAATTGGGTTGGAGGAGAAGCTGGTGAAGAAGATGGGAAGGGGACCAAGAAACCCCAGATTTCGATTTTCATTAATGGTGCATAACCCATCCAACATCCCGCATCGCCATGGCAATACCGTCAACGGCGGGACGCACGTGCGCTGGCATCGTCTGCACAGAGATGATTGGCGATGTGATGTCATACAGAGGCTGACATTGCAGCGCTCAGCATATTCTGTCCTCATCTGCTGCGTGCTGAGTCACGAATGCCAGGCTGGGGCATGACGGAGTGCACCATCCCACACTTAACGGTCGGAAATGTTGCTGAAATGGCAACATACAGCGTGTACACGGTAGGAATGTTGCCAAGTGCAGATTCTCCACGTGACGCATGCTGGGCGTATTCAATGGACTGGGACCCGTCACGCGTAAGGGGACCATTTCGCCAAAACTCAGGGTCCGCATGGATGTCGCATTCAGAGTTCGTACGCGTTAACTTGAAAACTCAGTTTTGGGGTAACGCAAACCCTGAAATTCTAAGTGTTCACAGACATACAACCCTGAAGAGGTTAGGGTTAAAAAAAGCCCAATCCTGAAAATTAAGGGTTGGCAAAAAAAAAAACCCTGTGAAATCAGGGAATCAGGGTAAAATACCATGATAACGACAGCCCTGATACAAAATATGTTTGACAGGTAAAACACCCTGAAAGCCTGATTTTCAGGGTGGGGTGGAGCAGTGAACCCTGAGATTTCAGGATACTCATTGTACCGTAAACGCCCAGATAGAAGACCCGGGCGAATAGAAGACCCCCTGGTCTATCATCCGGGTGTTTTCTTATAAACGGGTACTCTGTTTATAAGACATGGATTTTGTATAGGTATGACATAAGACCCTCCCTGGGTCGTGTATTCGGAATTTGCTGGCGCAATGCTATCACAATGGTGAAGAATGCTCCAAAATTTGCTGCCAGAAATTGCATAGGCAGAAATTTTCTCGCAAGTGCATTATGGCGTAATGATTGCAGCTGAACCGCAACATTCCTCTTGGCCCACAACTCGATATGGACGTGAGGCAGTAACAGGGCATTATACATGCATTTTTTTGTATACGTGAATGGGTTCCGTTTATAAGAATTATAAGACCCCCTATTCCTTCCATTTATAAGACAAACCTCCAAATTCTTAGGGGGTATTGGACAAGACCCATGGGTCTTCTATCCGGGCGAATACGGTACTTTGGTATGTGTATTCAGGTTGTTTATTTTTGTTGGAAATGATAAAGTGACTGAAATGCATTTCAAGAGTGTTACGTGCTGTAATGTACGCGAAGACCACAACATCGAGGATTGAAGAGCCAAACCCTGCTACAGTACTTCCGACGGTTGATGCAGGTTGACGACACCTAGCAGAGGTTATGAAAGGGCCACAGTCGCAGACCCTTGACCGCGCAACTCAACAGTCAAAAGTACGAGAGTAAAGTCAACTCGACAGCAAGGACAAATAACCGTCCTATTACAGGTCGTTTAGGGAATGTACCCATTGAAGTGCATAATCAGTTAGACTCTTCGTATTCTCTTAGATTACTGTATAAACCTTTGTATCCCTTTGCTATAATCAATCATTTGTCTTCACGTACCAGTACAAGGGTTCAACAAGACTTCCGTAATGCTATCAAGCACCCTGATTACAAGGACTTAGTTTTCTGGAAGGATCCTAGGGCTATTCTCTGCCCAACATGCAGAGATGACTCCTTGCGCTGCTTGATCGCAAGAGTGGACTCTTCCTCAACGATGTAGCTTGTCAGAGTATTGTCGCGAGTTTTCCGTTTCTCCGGAAAATAGATCATGCGTTGTAGATAGCTGTACTGTGCCGACAGACCCTTGACAACATGTGTCACGTAGGAAGCCGTCGAGTGCCGCACTCCGTTCATCCGCAGATTTGCAAGCAGCTGCTGTGCACGAGGGCAGTATACCATTGCTGTCTCGTGCTCTGCCATCTCTAGACTTGCCAAACTCTGCTCCAACTGACCGATGTAGAGATCGCCAGTAGCCTTGTACGTCTTTATGACGAAACTGTCAGAATACTAGAATCACTAGAATGAAGAGAGTACAAGGAAGATATAGGGTTGGGCATGTACTCTATAAGAGCACAAACGCGGAGCTGCTGCTTACTAGAATCGGCGCCGAATTAGTCACCCCCGGCGGTTTATTGAGGCAGGTTTTCCCGCTGCTGCTGCTTTGCTGAGCGCGGCCGAGTGAGAAAAGCTCTGATTACCAAGTGTCATATGATCGAATGTGTCGAGGAAAAGTTGTACTATCGATTGATACAAGGCACTTTTATACTTCAAAGGTACATCAGGTAACCACGTTTATCCTATCCAAAGGGAATAGACCCTTCTAGAAATAGAATCACTCTGCGTATAGCCACGAGTAGCTATTGGCTTCTAAGGGATTACGGCAGGATTATGCTAGATATAGCGTGGCACTACATCCCGAGCCTGGTCGGTGATATAATAATGATAAGAGGATAAACCAAAGGATAATGGAAAATGAGGAATAAGAACTCAAATACGATGAGGTAAAAAGGAGAATGAGATAGAGAAGAAAGATGGAAATGAGGAAGAAGTGTAACGGGGTCATACTCTCACAATAGCAGGCTTCATGGGGGTTGCTGGGGACTACCATATCGGGAGATCAAAGGTTGAGCCGCCATCCCGAAGCTCGGCGATTGATCAACGAACACACCTTTGGATGGGCAGAGAGGCAGCTTGAAATGGTGAGAAACATTTCAAACAACACAGCAAACGTGCACGAGCCATGCGTTTAAATGTGTTTTATTCAACCCCGTCCGCGTGCAGGCACAGGACTACGACGACATGTGCACGGAACGGTCGAAACAAAACTTGGGCGCGATACACTTGCTGGAAGACTTAATGTCCCTCGGGCATTGCATTGTTGCCGAGGATCTAGCAATGATTCTGGTTCACCAGCCGAGTCACCCGTAAGTCCGCGCCTCAAAGCTCTGCATTATCTCATGTTCAGGCAATGGGCGCACTTGGTGGCATACTGAGATGCCATTGGGAGGACGCTACGCAAGACACCCACGCAGACGCAGGAAGTGGTGAGTTGCAATGTCCAAGTCCCGTGCAGTTTTCATACGTGCAGAGTAATGCATTTTGCCGTTGGTGTGCTGCGCAGGAGGTAACGGTACACTTACACACGGAACATCAAGTGACCTCGCTGAATGCACTGCTGAACAAGGAAAGGGTGGAGCACGAGGAGGACAAGTCTCAGCAGGTCGCTAGAGACACCATTGCTCAGCTCCAAGCAAGTTGTGCTGCCAAGGATGCGGAAATAAAACGGCTGCAGGCGGAGAAGCTGCACGCCACAGCGGAGACGCGTGCTGAAGGCGGGAGATAGGGCGATTCAACTGTGTCGCATGGAGACACGCGTGCAGGGTTGGGGACGCAGCAGGGCGAGACAAGTGCAGAGATGGAAGCAGGGGTGGGAGAGCAGAGCGACCCCACTGGCACGTGTGCAACAGATGCCGCACCAGCAGCCTCGACAAAGGCCAAGCGCAAAAGAAAACCCCCGCCATCCCACCGCCCTTGCTAGAGGATTACGCATTCAACAAAGAAATCATGCGGCCATGTCGACTAGCCAAGAACCTGGGAGACGCTTGGCGCTTTTGGATAACACCTCACGGAAGTGACGGGCGGCCATTGCAGAGGGAGTACAGGTTCGTCGGCGAGTTCGTTCCACACTTAACACACGAGGAGAAGCCAAACTACGACACGGCAAAACAACGGTTTTGGCGCTTAAAGAGAGCGATGGATGCAGTAACATGTTACTCTGAGAAATGTGGGGGCGCGGAATGCGCATGCGCGTTGCAGGATGGCGCATCCGCGACCAAGCTCTGTCGCGGATGCGCCCCCACATGTGCCCACGTGCCCAGATCTCCATCTCCAGGCCCTTTCCGCCACAAAGCTTGGTCGCAGATGCGCCATCCTGCAACGCTGCCACGCAATCGTCAGCAGTGACTGGTGGGAAGCCAGACTTCTCATTTGCAGTCTGCACGCAAGTGGGCGAACACGTGAAGGTCCACACCGTGGAGAACCCAAACTCCATGGATGCAGCTACGAGCAGCTTCTGTGCCTTCGCGTCTGCCACCACCTCCAACCCAACAGCAGAGCAAATTGTGCTCTAAGTGGTTACCTTCGCATCCGCCTCCTGCAGAGCGCGGCATTTGTTGAAGATTTTGCGGTACCTGCATGCGCAATTCATATTCTCTCAGGTACTGATCACAATAATACGCGGGTCAGGCAAACTTGCACGAAACATGAAATGCGCATGCACCTCTTCTCGCTTTTGGTGATGTTCCTCACGTGCATGACAGCAAACACACCAGCTGGAATGACCCGCGTGATGTCCAGATCCGGCATCCAGTCCATCTCTTCCTCCAAGCTCAGCACCATTTTCTCCTTGGGGAGGCTCTTGTGCCACACCATCTGCGCAACGGAGGAGACGTAACGTGCGGTACCTGCGTCAGTTTACATCCCCAGGTAGTAGCGCACGCCAAGATGATGGAGCTCCACCCAAAGTGCTCCCAGGTTCTGCGGATTCGTGCGCACGCCAACCTGCAGCGTCTTCTCCCCCCCCTTGTCCTTCCCTTGTGAACCAGGCCCCTCCTTCCCCTTAACACCTCGCCCAGCCAGCTTTTCAGGCACCCTCGATGCGATTAACTTCTTGCGGGCAGCCACTGCCTCCGCCTCCTCATCATCCGCCTCCACAGCTGTACCATCCCCCTTCCCACCCGCGCCCGAGGATACGCGTGGCAGCTGCTGTTGCTGCTGCTGCTATTGCTGCTGCTGCCTCTGAATTCCACGGGGTGCGGATGCTGCTCCGCTCCTAGGGGTATGAGTTGCTTTGCCGTCGCCGCCAACACCCATACTCGTGCCCTGACCGGAGTTGGAACCCTTACCCTGAGTCGGCGCCCTCAAAACCAGAGCACCCGCGGACCGCTGAGTGCCTACTGGGGCGCTTTTGGCTGGAGTTGCGGAGGGGGCCGGTGCACGCCCAGCAACTCCCACACCAGCGGACTTCTCCTTTTTCTAGCGTGAAGCTGAGACTTCTTCCACGGTGCCATCCGGTCCTCGCTTCTTGACGCGTGTCGTTTCAGTAGGCAGGAGAACAGAAACACGAGACAGTACACCTGCGGGTATCTCAGTCGCTGCAGGATGAAGTACTTTACCACTCGTTACTGCTTCACCCACGGTTTGCCTGACGTGTGCACTAAAAGACGCCATGACATTCCTCAGAATCAAGGCCCCCGCACCCACGCCCCGCTGAGTTCTCCATCCGAAGCATCTTCTGGATCACCTCTGCACGCGCCACCTCGGATGCCTCCCTCACCGCACCCGCAACCAACCCCTTCACATCGGCCAACACACCTCTACGCGTACCAGCGTCCGCTCCAGCGTCTCTCTCGCTGCAGCCGCATTCGCACATTCGACCCGGATCTCATGAATAGCATCCACGCTATTTGTCCGTGCTCGCTTCTCAGTTTCATCGGCGCGGCTGTTCAAGCGGTTCAAAGCAAGAGCCAGACGGTTGAAGCCTTCCTGAGTCTCATCCATCTTCTTAACCATGTCCAGCATTTTCGAGCGTGCGCCATTCAGCAGCTTCTCCAAAACAACCGTGATCTCCTGTTGGTGGCTATTGTCGACCTCGAGGTGGTTGACCTCCTGTGCCAATGTCAAGGGCGGCAACGTGGATAGGTCTTCCAGGTTACGACACGGGACCTAAATCTTCTTACCCTTGCCCATACTCTTCTTCCCACCCTCGACCGCGCATTTGCCACCGCCATCGCCTGCGGCCTCACCACCGCCCCTGACCATGGCTTCGACACCACCCGCCGTCGGATCCGCGGCACCTGGGTTGCCCTGTGTGACGGATTCCTGCTCCTTTTTGCCGTCTCCTTTGCGCGCACTTTGCCCAGCCCCTTCCCCGCCTAAAATCTCCCCTTCGCCATGACCCTTTTCAGGGGATTCCACACGCGGCAAAAGGGGAATGTCCTCCTTTGTCTCGTCCGCGGCCACCCACACCCCAGGCTCTTCCCCAGCCCCCTGATCAATACCGCCTACATGCAGCTCAGATGCAACCCCGACAGGACCACTGGGTCCATCTGCGATAGCCACGTGCCGTGCTGCCACGCGTGAAGCAATACATTCAGCTGACTCTCCGACAACCCCCTTTCTCCACATGCATCATGCTGTCCAGTGCTAAGTCACGCGTGCGTTTTATGATGCTGTCACGGAGAGCCTTCATGGACTTCAGCCTACATGCTCGAAAAGTAGCCTCAGGATGGCGGGAGAATGCCTCCCACTCCAGAAGCATGCATTGGAAGCCGTACATACAGCTCATGTCGGACACCACGTCGAGGTCACTTAGGGAGGTTAGGTCCTGCGAACCATCGTGCAATGGCAAACACCTTAGTCCCCACCGGTTGCACGCAAACCACTGCGTAAAAATGACAGGGTACGAGAGTTACATACCACCCACTCGTGCTAAAGTCGAGCCGCCCTGCCTGTCAGACCCGGTGTCGAATCTGGATCCTGACTGGTTGCACGTTGGACAAAGCCGCAAACCACCTCAACAGAAGGCACTGTTGTTAAGCAGTGGGTCTGGAGTGTGTCCAAAAGCTGGACGCATGCATAATACGGTAGGACGTGATATTACTCACTTGGCGATGGTATCCGCAAGATCCGCGTGCTCATTGGTCCCCGGATCCGACTCGATGTGAACCACACGCGTGAGAAAGCCTTTCTTATCGGGGGCGAGGAGCGTGTCCGGACGGGAGATACTGTAACCAAGATGCTGCAGTGGCACGTTCCGTTGTCCGCACTGGAAGAAAAACCAGAGGGGTGGGGTTAGATCCCAACGATGTGCGAATGCATTATGCTAGGAGCTGAGGCACGTGCGGATTGTGACACACCTTGTCTGCATGGGAAACCCCAGCATAGCCTTCTTGAGAAGCACGTCCTTGCAAGAATCCTTCTTCAGGCGAGAAGCCAGACGCTCCTAGGTGTAAACCTCCGTCCTGCCCGCGATTGTGGACGTGGACTTTATCATCAGAAACTTGCCATTCCACACGAAGGATACAGTAAGACCCGCGTTCAAACCTCCACTACAGTGACGCAAGAGAGGACATGCTGCACGGGAGAAGGGCACGCGCCAGTCACAATGCCTGTGGTGAGTACAAGCGTGCTATCCGCGCCTCACACTGCTTTCAAGGTGCACGCAGAGAAAATGTACGCGCGTGTAAAACATCCCATCCGCCACCATGCCCCTTCACCCAACACTCACTGAGTGCCCTACTTGGGCAGTGCTACAAGGATGGTCGATGAGGGGCGAAGGGTCAGGAAGGAGGGGCAGCAAAAACCTGAAAATCGAAACACAAGAATGAAATGAAGCGGTCTCGGCCCCTATACCCTCCCTCCTTGGGCCGGGCCAGCCCGAGACGGCTCACGGGCGCGTGGTATTTCAACCACCGATCCATGGGGATTTTGGCGCTTTGCCTGCTAATCTAGGCGGATCTTGCTTTTCGTCGCCCGATCCGAATGGATTTGATCGCCTTGCTTGCCGATTCGACGTCATCTGGCGTTCTGCTGACCTAGGCATTGAATGTTTGACCCGCATGACTCAGATCGCGCAGGTCGTCGACGGGCTGTGCTTTGGCTCGTCAATGGGTCTTTTGGCCTGCCAGTCCGTGTTGGCCTATAAACATACGGGCTCGGACTGGGCCAGCCCGACCATGGCCGCTCCCGTGAACATCCCTATAAGGTCGGCGTCTCCTCAATTCTCCTATCCACGCCCATCCTCTAATATGTTTGCGCACATTCCAAGAACAATGGCCACCATGCTGCCGTATGCTATGTGTCAGGCGCATACAAAGTTGTCAGGTGTCTGGCTCAATTACTGCTCGTTTCCACCATCACAGTGGCGCATGGCCTGCGTTCAACTGCACCTCCCGGCGTTGGGGGGTTTTAGCATCCGCTCGGCAGCTGACCTCGGCCCCCTTTTGTACACATGCGGCTGGTGTCAGGCAGTGTCTGCAATTGCCCCATTAGGGTTGGAGAGCAAGGAGCTGACGTTTGCAGGGATTTTCCGCACGCCAGAGGCAGGGCAAATCTTGGACCCCTAGTTTTCCAGGGTTGTGGGCCTGCTTCCCCTGTATGTTCGGAAGGAGATGTGGACCCTCTCCCTATATGTGGCTGCTGCTGCTGTTCCCCACTCGGCAGCGTCGTCTCGCTGTAGAGAGTCTGCAGACCCTTTGCTGCATGGCTCGCGGCGACGCCACTCTGGCCCATTTGACATCCATTCACGGCCCGGGGGCGGGGGCGTGGGTCTCTGCGGTTCCAGCGCATGACGATGCCACTTTTACCTCAACCGATTGGAGCATCTTTGCGACCATGCGTCTTAGCTTGTCCATTCAGCAGCTGATGGAAGCGGGCATTTGTGGGACGGCGTTTGTCGACTCGTTGGACCCGCATCATGCTCTTTGCTGCAAGCATCAGTATGCTCCCTCGTTCATGCTGCAGTGAAATTTTTGGCGGCCAAGATCGCGAAGAGCTCTGGCGGGGTGGTGACTAGTCGTGGGCAAGTGGTGGGGTTTGCTGCTGGGGAGAGGGAGAAACGAAAGGCGGCGACAGCAGATTACAAGGCGTTGTTACAGTGGCATAGGGGCAAGCAGTTCACTCCCCTCATTGCCGATACTTGGGGCTGCCTAGGAGGAGGGTTCTGCTGATGGTTGAGATCGCAGGGGGATGTCCAGCTCCAGATGGCAAGGAGCAAGGGGGCTGGGAGGGGAAATTACAAAACTTTCTCAGCTTATTTGATTGGGTATCTGAAGGCTGCTTTCGGGGTAGAATTGCAGCAGGCCCAGGCGCGAGTCATTTTGTTGCGTGCGGCTTCTATAATGGGTAGGCCTGATGTCGTGTGGGCTGAGTGGGGAGGGGGTGAGCAGGAGGATGGGTGGGTGGCTTCTTGGGCGGATGCCCCTTACTTGGTGGACCTGCGGGTCTAAGCTGGGTTTGTTGGGTCAGGAGTTGTGCACAGGTGTCTCCCTTTTTCCCACTTCCCCATTTCCTTCCCATGCACATCGGGTTGCTTAGTTGTGCATTTCCTTGTTTCTTTCTCCCCACCTTCCCTCTTTTGTTTTCCCCATCCCTGTAGTTTTTCAGCTGCCTAGGATTGTCATCTCCTTATGCTTGTGAGCACGATTAATGCCATATTCAAAGCCTTTCGCATGGAAAGAAAAAAGCGAACCACCTCCGAACCTTGACCTTCAAATTGCTTCGTCGTTGTTATATAGACAGTAGGTTGACGTGCAAAATCACAATTTGCACCAACAGTGTAGTCATAATCCACTTCATTCTAATTCATGTCATGGACTATGACATGTATAATTATGAACGGGACTCGATTGGATTCGCTAAAAACATTATGAAATCGAATTTTATGCCCGATAAATCAAAGTTTTTCTAATCATGTCATGTATTATGACATGTAGATTGATTGCGGGACTTGATTGGATCCGTTTACGATGACGTGATGCAGTCAAGCATGTGACATAGGCCCCTAGATATCAGCCTTTTTACGCAGATTCAGCCTTTTTTCAGCCTTTTTTCTTGAACCTACGCTGAACTGTAAGATTTTTTGAGATAGGTAAGACTGAAAAATTCACCCTTTTGTTTATAGTGATCTCTGGTGATTTCAGCGTTTTTGTTGGGGTGTAGGCTGAGGTTTCAGCGAAGTCTCTGGGGGGGAGTCTGAAACCGAGTACAGCGAGGAAAGGGTCCTCCCGTGATTACCGCATCCAATCACACACACGCCCAGGAAAAAAATTCTCGAAGTCCTCGACCAGTCACACTCCTCTCATACCCTCGGCAACCCAAAAGATTTTGTGCAAGTCCTTGGAAACCAGTCACACCCCTCTCGTAACCCCTGCAACCTTGGAGAATTTGTGCAAGTCCGTGGCAAACAGAAACACCCCTCACACCTTCCCCCCACCCTGAGAGCCGAATAGGTCTCACGATAGACGGGTATAATTCGGAATTCCGGTGAAATTCCGGATTGTTCCAAGCGAAACCCGTGCTGGAATAAAACCAGGATTGCCTAAACAGGCCTGAAATTGCCCATTTGAAAGCCTATTCTGATCCTTTCGACGAGCTCCACGTCCCTGGGACCTCATAAATGCACAAACCGAGGCATCAATATTCAATTCTGGAAGAATCCGGATTTGAAAAAACCCAATCGTGAGGCCTGGAGCCGAAGTCTCGACTCTTGACTCTCCAACTGTAGCCCCCTGCGCCAGTCACGCTAGTCCCCTGTCCTGGGGTGGGGCGGCGCCACGCTGGCGCACAAGCAACTTGGCTTCCGCGGTGGTTGGCACGCAAATTCCTAAAAAAAAATTATCGTGCCACATCACTGGCGATTCAAGTGCTTCATGGCGTGTTCTGGGAAAACTTCAGAGCGGGACTTCGGAGCATTTTGTACACGATCGATATCGAAAAATAAGGAGTTTTGGACCATGTCAGCCGTATACGAAACGCCCCGAAGTCCTGCCTAGAAGTTTGCCTCGTGGCAAGAACACGCCCTCATGCAAGCGTGAACTTCGTTATTGAAAGTCAGCGCTAATTCCTGAAAGACCGTTCAGAATGTGCATCAGAATGTGCATCAGCGCTAATTTTGGAATAACGCTGAATTATCAGCGTAATTTTTTTCGGTAACGCTGCAATTTTCAGCCTTAATGAAGGAGGTAGGGATAATGAATCAGCGTGTCCTAAAACGAGTCTTAGGGCCTGATGTGACATGTTAAGAATCTATTGATATAATTAAGAATCAAACACTACAACCCGCCCATATCATTGAAACAATCAGTTTGAAAATGACAGAGAGTAGAGTTCGTTAGAAAACCATAAAATGACCAATATTGATATTGTATGTCAAGCATAGCTTATGCAGTTACTGTAGACTATATATGTTTGTGCCTTAGTGGGTACAACTCTCTAGACTATATTGCCTTGTATCTCACCACTCTAGTCATTCATTCTTTCAGTTATGGTATCATAGTAGGTTAGGTTCCCCCCTATCCCGCCCACGCTTTCGCCCCCTAGGCCCTAGCCGGCCCCTTGGTCGTCGCGTCCGCCCCTAGCCCCCCCCCCCCCCCTGACCGTCGCGCTCGTCCCTACCAGCCCCCCTGGCCGTCGCGCTCGTCCCTAGCCGGCCCCCTGGCCGTCGCGTCCGCCCCTAGCCGGCCCCCTGGCCGTCGCGCCCGTCCCTAGCCGGCTCCCTGGCCGTCGTGCCCGTCACTAGCCGCCCCCCTGCCCGTCGCGGCCGGCCCTAGCCGCTGTCGCTGCCGTCTCCAGCCGCCTCACGGTCACTCCTGCCGTCGCGGCCGCCCCTAGCCGCAGTCGCGGCTGTCCCTGGCCGCCGTCGCGGCCGTGTCTCCTCGCCGTCGTGGCCGGCCCTACTCGCCGTCGCGCCAGCTTCTCGCCGGCCCCCGTTGCCGCCATTTGCTGGCCCCTCGCGTCTGCCGTCCGCCGGCCGGCTCCTGCATTGGCGTCGTCGCCAGCCCGCCGCCGCCTCGGGTTCGGCTCGTTCTTCCCGATCAGCACCGCCCTGCGAACCCCCCCGGTACCGTACTCAACTGCACTACACCGCACTGCACTGCATTGTACCGCACTGCACCGCACTGTACCGCACTGCACTGTCCTGCACTGCACTGCACTGTCCGTGCCATACTGCACCGCACTGTACTGCCCTCTATTGTCACTGATGGCGGAGGTGCTTCGCTTTGACGCTGAGGGCCAACCGATTGAGTTTGATGCGTGGCTTGCTGACCTTCGTCGCCACCTTACTGGTCAGCGGCAGGATGGCCACTCTCTGTCTGTCCATCTTGACGGTACCCTCCCCTGCCTTGACCCCCCCGCTGCACTGTCTCCTGACCCCTCGTCCGCTGAGCATGAGTCCGATGCGGCCGCTGCCCTTGCTCGCTCTGTCTGGCTGTCCCGTGACGCTGTCGCACAGCTTGCTATTAGTAAGGCCCTCCC